ATTAGGCAACTGAAACTCATAGACTGCCCATGGCACACAACTAGTAAACTCCAAGTCCAGAACTATTTCAAGAAGCAGACCATTCTGTTTTTCAATAGTTATTGTTAGAAAATTATATTGAATCCAAATCAGCCTCCCTTTAATTTTTATCTATTTTTTCTTAGTTCAGAATAAATGTAATCCCTCTTCCACGTGACAGTACTTTTAAATATTTGGAAACAGCTTCTAAGTTAACTTCTTTAAGCTAAACATTCCTAACTTTTTCAACTGTTTCTCATATGAAATGATTCAATTCCTGTCACCATCCTCCTTGTCCTTCTGTGCTCCTATTGGTCAGTGTTAATCTTGAAATATAGTACCCAAAATTCTAGTCGATATTGCTAATATTTTCTAATGATACAGAGTAATGTTAGAACCCTTGCCTGTCTTCTTTCTTATTACTGTCAAGAGTACCACCATTCTTCCAGTCACCCAGCTTTGAAGCTTTGGTGTCATCCTCTTAATTTTCATCCCATATATCCAGTCATTTACCATATCTTGTTGATTCTGTATCCACAATATCAACTCACATTTGAAATATTGCAATACCCTGCTAGTGGGTCTGATTGCCTCAAATCTATCCTCCATTCATCTGCCAAAGTGATTTTCCTAAAGTGTTGGTCCAATCATGTTACCCCCTGCCCCTTCTCCTTAAACTCCAATGGCTCCTGTTTTTTTGAGGACCAACTACAAAATCCTCTGTTTTGTGTTCAAAATCCTTCATAACTTAGCATACCCTTCTGTCACCCGCTTTTCCAGTCTTACACCTTATTCCCTGTCACTTGCTTTTTGATCCAGTAACACTGGCCTCCTTTCTATTCTTTAAACCAGGTACTCCATCTCTTGCTTCCAGGCATTTTCTCTGGTCGTCCCTTATGCCTAGAATATTCCTCCTCCTTATCTCCACTAACTGGGTTCCCTGGTGTCTTTCAAATCCCAGCTTTGCAACCTTTCTTAATTTTAGTGCTTTCACTTTTTAAATCATTAGCTGTTTTCCCTGTATATAGCTTAATTGGACATATTTGTTTATTGTCTCCACCATTAGATTGTAAGCTCCTTCAGGGTAAGGATTTTTGCCTGTAATTGTTTCTCCAGTGCTTACCACAGTATGCACTTAATAAATGTTTATTGACTGATTGACAATATCTTTCAAATAATTCTCTTCTTTTTTCCTCATAGAAGCACCACCTTAGTCCAGGCTCTCATCACCACTGCTGTAATAGCCTCCTAATTGGCTTCTCTGCCTCAAACTTTTCCTACTTTAACCAGTTTTTTATATAGCTATCAAAATGATTTTCCTGAAGCATACATCTGATCATGACATCCCACCGTGCTCAGTAAACTCCAATAGCTCTCTTATCTTTAGGATAAAATATGAATTCCTCTGACATTCAAAGCTTTTCACAGCTCTTACTACTTTTGCAGTCTTCTTAATACTTTACTGTACCCCTTGCACTCTGCCATACTGGCCTACTTGCTTGTTTCCTTGGAATTCATTCCTTTTTCTTCTCTGCCTCATGAAATTTCTGGTTTCCTTCAAGACTTAAGACTTTATTGATGAAGCCTTTCCTGCACCACCCTCACCCACCTCTCCAATGCTTCCCTAAGCTACCTTGTATTCATTTTGTATGTATTCTGTCTTTGTTTATAAGTGTGCAGATTGTTTCCCTATTAGAACATAAACTCCTTGAGAGCAGAGACATTCACTTTTGTCTTTGTAGTCATAACACTTAACATATTGCTTCACACTTAGTAACTACTTAATAAACTCATAAATGAATGATGATGATTCAAATTTCTGTTAATTCATCCTTATATCCTGCTAGCTTTTTTTGATAGCCACAGTAGGCTTAGTCACTGAATTTATAGTCACCTGTAAATTCTTTCACTTATGTGAAATGTTTCACTTAAGTGAATTGACCAGGGAACTACAATTTGTTAAGAACAACACTGTGCTTTATTACCTCTTTATTTATCTTGGGTTTCAGTTTCCTTTTAGTCAGGCTTGTTGTACCCTTTTCAGTCTGAAGAGAATTTCCTTGACAGAGAAGATAGAAATAAACGAAAAAGGTCAACTAGTTCTGCTTCCTGTAGTTTCTGTTAATATTACCCCATCTTCACCAATCAGCAGGCCTGTTGTTAATTCTTTTTTCTTTCTCTAACATAAGTTTTAAAAAGCCTTTTTAAAAATCCTCCCTGGGAGCAGGTAGGTGGCACAGTGGATAGAGCACAGGCCCTGGAGTCAGGAGGACCTGAGTTCAAATCCAGCCTCAGACACCTGACACTTACTAGCTGTGTGATTCTGGGCAAGTCACTTAACCCCTTGCTAGCCAAAAAAAAACCCCAAAAAAACCTTCCTTAATATTTTTCAATCAAGCCTTAGCTTATTCTGGATTTTAGCTTTGCTAATATTATTCTTTCAGATCTATGCCACTCTTTTGTATTCTCCCTTCCATATTTTATATATTTGCATATAACCTTCAGAAGTCTGAGTTCTCTATATTTCTTTTAAAAATCTTTGTAACAAGGGAAGGTTGTCTGAGTAGGTGAGTAGGAAAACAAAATCTTATGCCATGTTTTAAGAAAGACAAATTTTTAAAAATGTATCATCAATAAAGACATAATCAACTTTTAAAAACATAAAACTTGAACTTCAGACTCCTTTTATAGCTACCATTAATCTCTTCTTTTTCATTTAAATCATTTGCAATTGTATTAGTTCATTTTGGGGAGACTCGCATTCTTGTTCAGCTACATTTCCTTTTAGAGGCCCTGGTTACGGAATCTCAACTTTGAATTCTGCTTTTCAAAAATCTTGGGCAAACTTGTGGCCATTCCTGGTGTCACCTCTTTAGATGGTGGTCAGTTTTCCTCCAGATTCCATTACTTGTTGTACATCACCAACCAGACCCCCTTGTTTGTTCGAGTTGGGTCTAGAGTAACAATTCTCATTTAATCTCTCAAAAATTGAGAGGAAGCACATGGCCATTGGGAATATTGAAAAGCATTCAAATATTCTGTTATTAGAAGTAGACTTCTAGCAGCTACCTGTTGGTTAATAGGATCATAAGATTAGAACTGGAAGAAATCTCAAATGTCATCTATGTGTAGTCCAACACCTTCATTTTACAGATGAAAACACTGAAACCCACAAAGGACAAGCGACTTGCCTAAGTTCCCAGAAGTATCAGTGGAGCTGGGATTTGAATCCAGTTTCTCTGACTAAAAACCCAAGACTCAGTGTTCTCCTTTGATGCCAGTAGGTAGCATGCTATGCTGTATTGCGCAGGGGACACTTACAATGCTTTTTGATAAAAAGTTCCAAATCTGGTCCTTGAACCGATCCCAGCCTCTTCATCTCTGTATAGTTTATCTTTAATAATTATGAACTACTTGGAGAATGGGGGAGGACACATGGAAGGAACACTGATATCTGCCATCTACTTTCCTGTTTTTCTCAAACAGCCTGGTATAATAGATTAAACTTGGAATACAGAACCTGAGTTTGAATCTCACTTCTGGAACTTAAAAGTTGTATGACAACATTTTGTGTGAAATTATATGGCAAATCATTTAATCTCAGACTCAATTTCAACATCTATAAAATGGGCATAACGATATCTATAACATTTATTTCACAAGGTTGTCATGAAGGTCAAATGAAATAACACAGCTTTGTAAACTTTTTAAAGCCCTTTAAAAACGTGTGCTGCTGTTGTTGTTCTACGTGCATCCTTTTGGTCTGCAGATGGCAGCTACAAAATCTGGCTTAAGTACTTCAGTGACAGGATCACATTAAATCATATTGCATCTGGTAGAAGCCCAAATACGCATGATTACAGATATTAATGCTTCTTTACATATGGCCAGGCCTTCATGTTGAAGAGCTCAGAGAGTTTTATGTAAGCCGTGCATCCAAATAGTACCCAAGAAGTCTTTGCACTGCAAGGCGGGAGCAGTAGAGACGCTAGAAGGGTAGAGAATTCAAGATAAAGTGCACCTTCTGGTAACTCTTCATGAGAATTTTGCATGGGGACCCAGAATCGTTCATTGGAGAAAATTTTATAGTACCAGATTCACAGATTCCGTTAACTTAACAAACATGTAAGCAGTGCTCTCTTGGGAAGACCCAGGATTATAGAACCATTTCAACTAAGTCATACCAAAATATACAGTGGTGTATTTTAGTTAGGAATTTTCTGTAATTACTGCATCTGACCAGGAAGCAGGCAGCCTGTCCACAACCTGTTGCTACTGTTACTCAGTGCTTTTCTCTTTACCCAGATGTAAATCATGTTGTGCTTTTCCTTTCTGGCTCATAAATTTCTATGTATGTGTATATCTTCTTGATAGGAACTGACTTAGGCAGTGTCTGACACATTAAAATACTTGTTGGTTGGTTTCTTGATAGATACTGTTGCTTTGTTGACTTTATTGTATCTATCTCTTTTGAATGTAATAAACCTTATAGTTGTATTTCAGTCATAAGTCTCATCCTGGTTTTGGTATCTATGAGATTATATTTACTCAACCTTGTATTTAATATCAAGGTCATTTTGTTTATTTTAATACTCTTTGCATTGGTATGTAGATATACGTGAGGCTGTAAGTGTTGTTCCTAATCTCTTCCTAATTTTCTCTTTTGAATTATTAGGTATATTATCTGCTGCTCTTCTTTGCTTGTCATATTCTCATATCCTGAGGCCCTCCATATAACTTTATTTTAATATAGTTGTACCTATAAAATAGTTCAATGCATGAACCCCAAGATTGATGCTATAGCAAAACTTGTGTGATTATATTTTGCATTTGTTGTTAATAATTATAACTACTAGGCTATAATTCATTAACGACCTAGTCATTTAAATTGTATGTATTTTTCTGATTTTTATTCTATATTTTTGTTTAGTCTTAATGTATATTGAAATGATATTTTCTCTGTGTGGTATTTTTAAAAACAGATGATCAGCAAGCCTTGGATTCAATAATGCAAGATCTGGCTGTCCTCCATAAGGCCAGTCGACCAGCATTATCCCTACAGGAAACCAGAAAACCAAAATCTTCATCACCCAAAAAACAAGTATTTGTTTTCATAATATTATAAAACAAATAAGGTTGCTGTGTAAATCATTTTAAATAGTTTTTCGGTTTTGTTTGTTTTGTTTTGCTTTTTTTTCTTTGAGAGGGGGGTATTATTTATTGTTTTAGTGTATATAGTTTTTGTTTTGGTTTGTTTATTCTTTGGAGATTGGCTCTCCTATCTTGCCCAACTTGAAAGTATAGCAGCTATTCACAGACCTGATACCGGTACTGATCAGCAGCAAAATTTTAACCTGCTCCGTTTTCCTGATCTAGGCTGGTTTGCCCCTCCTAAGCAGCTTGGTAGCTTTCCACTGACCATATTGATACCAGACTTAGTACAAATGCCTAATCAACTTTAGCCCTACTGCCTCAGAACTCCTGACCTAAAGCATTCCAGTAACTTCAGCTTCCCTAGCATCAAGGACTCCAGGTGTACACCACCATACCTAGTCCTTTCAGTAGTTTTAAAGGACATATGTAAAATAATGTCCAAATATTTAATTCTAGTTAATTTAAGTTAGGCCCAAGTATATCCATTTATTTAAATCAAAACTTGTCTGTTGATAATGTTTAGGCATTTTCCCCATGATACTTACTTCCTAAATAGAGAGCAGGGTAGAAAATTGTTGTTTTGTTTTTAATGTCTTGAGTTTTATTTGATATGAAAATTTCTATTAAACCTAAATGTACTCTGAGGACAGTATTTTATTTTGCTTTATAAGGATTTTTTTAAATCATTCAAGAAAAAAAATTACTTTGTTTTAGCTAATTTATTTTGGGAAATTTATGCCTTACAGATTTGAGTGATTTAATTGTACAGAATCTAATACAAAAATATAAAATATTTTAGTGTTCTGAAACTAATGATGTATTATTTTATAGATGTTTATTTTTATGTAAGGAAAAATTAGAATTCTAATCAGAAATCATAGCTAATCTCTGTTTATCTCTTAATGGTTTTCATTTATGTCTATAATTTGTCTTTTCATTATAGAATGATGTTCGAGTCAAATTTGAACATCGGGGTGAAAAAAGGTAAAGTAGAAAGAGATAAACTGTTTTAATGTGTTTTTTTTTATTTAATGGTTTAAACACATCTTTTAGGTGCTTCACTGAAGCCATTAATGATTTGTGGTTGTTGTTTAGTTAACACTTTTGTCTGATTTTAATGTAGTCTTATGGCATAAAGTTGAAAATGTAATACTCTTTTATAACTTTTAGATAAAGTATAGAACAGACGTTTAAAACCCAGTCTCTTGAAATTTAAGCTCCAAATGATGTGACTGTATAAAGATGGATATTCATTTATTAATTGTCCTCTAATTTGATCAATATGTTATTTCTATTTTAGAATAGTCAAAAAATGTTAGGTAGACTCCACTGAGTTAAATGAAAAGCTCAAAGTAATTGTGTTTTGCATGTTCAATTCCTTTTTTGTTGTTCTAAATTTAAAAAAAAAAAAAACAACTAAGTATCCTATCTTTATATGAACCTCTCCAGTATAGTATGAAGACCATTAGTCATTCAAGAATTTGAGGTAGTTAAAAACTAAATAGATATTAGGGAGTGTATATCTAAACAGTTTACAAACTGAGAATTGTTTTCCATCAGATCAGAACCAGATTCAAAATCTTTTTAGTCATAAAGTTTCTTTAAACTGGATTATTTAAACAATCTGTATGAAATTCACTTTATTATTTATTTATTTAGTTAGTTAGTTTTTAAGAGAAAACAAGGCAGATAACTTTTACTAGTTTTTTTCTTTGGGTCATAAATTTGACATTTCAAAGGTGAGGAAAGTACCAAACTTAATAGGATATTAGATAGAATTTTGAAGCTGAGAATTTCTTTTATTCTTACTGGGGGGAAAATAATCTGTTTTATTGCTCTGTTTGCTAATTCATGTAAAGTGTTAATTTTCTAAAATAGATGTTCAAAATACTAATGTAGAGTTTATCATTCAAATTTGTTTCGTGTGTTGAATAATTCGAGAGATGTGAGTGAAAAAATACCATGTTAGTTCAGTCCCATTGATTTAAATAGTATCCTTTTTTTTTTCCAGCCAAAGACAAGGTTTATTAGAACATCCATCATGTTGGGCAGACTCTTAAGGAGTCTGAAATCTGGGTAAGCAGTGGCTAGATTTTAGGAATCTGAGCCATGGCTAGATTATAAGAATCTAAGCATCTTAATGGAGACAAGATGGACCTTATATACAGAAAGACTGTGGGAGGGATCTAAGAGTTGCGAAGTATAGTCTATGAGGTAATAGAGTTCCAGGGACCTGGACCACGTGGCCAAGGGAGAATGGAGAAGTGGCCTGGGGCCATAGGGAGGTCCACAATGAAAGGCCAGTTGATAGGATTATAGCCTCAGGTGAATGCCAGATTTGGCCATGTGGGAAAGTCCAGGGTTTTTACTTTCTGGGGCCCAGATCCCAACCTCATCATTCTCCCCTCAAACAAATAGGAACCCAAATTCTTTTGGGGTAACGGGCGTAGGGCTGTTCCTGCCTTGAGGGAGTCCCAAAGAGGAAGTTGACTGGAACTGAGCACAGGCTGCATCCAGGAACAATGGGGGACATTGGCTGGTACTCGCTGTTTGCTGCCAACTGTAGGTGAATGGCCTGTAGTCTGGAAGACACAAATCTGACAGACAAGACTACAGGGCCCAGATATAAAACAGTAACTAGATTTAGGACCCAAATGAGAGAATAAAACATCCTTAGCTCTATTTGGATTGAGATAATTCAGTTTTCCAACCATGCAGTATCCAATCCAGTTCATAGCCAGACTCAGGAATAGCCAGGTGGGTAACATTCCTTTTCAAAGGAACATAATGGGGAAATTGAGCCAGGAGGATCCCATCTTAGACTGAGGCTAAAATTGTCCTCTCAGCTTTTCCCGATGCTGACTTCCCACCAGTCTCACCTTCTCTGAGTAGCTTGTGGCATTTCTCTCAGATGGTAGATTATTGATTATTGATGGATTATGATCCATCAGATGACTCAAAATAAAATCCTATGAGCTTTTACCTCAAACAGCAAGTTTTACTAATCACAGCTTAGGAAAAACTTTTCCAGGATTTACATCTCACACTTAAATTTATCATAATGTAAAAAGCCAATCATTAGAGATTTCTATACACTTGCAAATTCTCAGCAAGCCATATATAACCCACACAAGCTTTTTGGCTAGTTTACACATTGAAACAATAACCAACAATAGCTAAAATTATTTTAGCGTTAACCAAATTGTGAAAAGTTGCTTGACATAACTGATACAGAAAGTTCACCAATTTGAAACTTGAAACAAATCCATTACCAATCAAGTGACTTCAGTTTTGTTAAATACACTTCCAAATTACTTTACACAGAGAATCAACATCTCATCATTAACAATTAAAACTAAACTTTAAAAGAGCGTGCTTACCCAAGTTTGGAGGCCAGCTTCATTACATTGAGTAGGATGTGCTGAACCTGGGTGATGCTTCCAGGCAAAGGTTGCCCCAGAGCCCAAGGCCATTGCCAGTGGGGCCCATGCTAGCTGCTGCCCCTCCCTCCTCCTTCCTTTCCTAGGTCGGGGAGGGCAAATCAAAGGTGTGTCAAAACTCCCTAATGATCAATCACAAAACCTCTAGAATATGCCAAGATATTTTTAACTGTTCTAACTTTTCCCTGTAACCTCCATAAAGGAGGATTCAGAGGTGCAGAGGGAAGGGAGTAAGTAAGCCTCAGGGAACCAAAAAGCAACTGCAGTTTTCCCCAATTCCCTAGCACTGAGGGAATTCATACACTTCTGGATAGGGCATCCATCCTTGTCCTCTATGCTGAGGAAGGCATACCCAGGTCCATGGCCTCGAACCTTCCCAGTGGACCAAGAGCCTGAGAGGGTCAGGCCGAGTGCAAGACGGCCTTGTAACTGTCTGCCCAAAAAGTACCTCTTGGTGCAAAGTCTTGGCGCATGGAGAGTGACCCCAATTGCAGAGCAAGAAAAGGAGAGAGAGGAGGCTTACATACCTTCCAGTCCTGGCTGGAGAAAAACTTGGGGTTAAGCAGTTTCCCCTTCTGGCCACTAAAATGACATGGTTTAGGGGTTCAGCGGTGCTGGGACCCCAATATCACAACACTTGGGTCCTGCCCGAAAGAATTCGACCCAAGCCTTCTTTCAGCCAAAGACAAGGTTTATTAGAACATCCATCATATTGCGCAGACTCTTAAGGAGTCTGAAACCTGGGTAAGCAGTGGCTAGATTATAAGAATCTAAGCAGTGGCTAGATTTTAGGAATCTGAGCCATGACTAGATTATAAGAATCCAAGCCAATAGTATCCTTTTTTGGAAAGACAGTTGGCCCAATAAGGTCCATTAAAACCATTCTGGGCCTCTTTTTTTCTTCAAAGGGAATTCAACTCATAAAATTGGTTTGAACTGCATTTTTTGTATAGACAAAAAAAAATTTTTTACTGAAAATCACCATTACTCCTGCTCAGTTAAAAATTCTGTCACTATATTTCAATAGTTGTATATTTTTACTTTGCTTTTTAATGTCCACTTATCGATTTGTATGCTCACCAGACAAGAAAATACTGAAAGCAAAATACATTTTAATTGAGGAAATGTGGGTAAACTGTACCTAATTTGGACTGCCAGTTTGTTTAAGCCAGCTGAATGTTTGCATATAGATTCTCTGAATTTTAAATCTGTTTAGTCATTTTTGGGGTTGGGTGGGAGATGACGTCCATACTTAGATTTCATAGGCGGTGATGAGCTACCCATTATGAAAACCACCTCCACCAGTGTATATCAATCGATAATTAATTGCAGCTTAGCCTAAGTTACCTGGGGCACTAAAAAGTTAAGTGACTTCCCTGTGGGCACACATTCACACAGCTAAGATGTATCAGAGGCAGGACTTGACCTCAGATCTTCCTGATTTCAAGGCCAGCTCTATGCAGCACTTACTTTCTTTTAACCAGTATGCAACTATTATTGCAAGAGAAGATCTCTAGCAAGGATTTATGTCAAATTTATGGAGAACAGAAGAATTTATGACCTAACAGGAGATAGAGAACATTATGAAATGCAAAATAGATTATTTTGATCATATTAAATTGAAAAGTTTTTGCACAAACAAAGCCAATGCAACCAAGATTAGGAGGGAAGCAGAAAACTGGGAAAGAATTGTTACAAACAGTGTCTTTGATAAGGGCCTCATTTCTAACATATATAGGGAACTAAGTCAAATTTATAGGAATACAAGTCACTCCCCAGTTGATAAATAGTCAAAGGATATGAACAGGCAGTTTTCAGATGAAATTAAAGCCATCTAAAGTCATATGAAAAAATGTTCTAAATCACTATTGATTAGAGAAATGCAAATCAAAACAACTCTGAGGAACCACATCACACCTATCAGATTGGCCAACATGACAAAACAAAATTGGAACACTAATGCATTGTTGGTGGAGTTGTAAACTGATCCAACCAATTTGGAGAGCAATTTGGAACTGTGCCCAAAGGGCTATAAAAATGTGCATACCCTTTGACCCAGCAAAAGCACTTCTAGGGCTGTATCCCAAAGAGATCATAAAAATGAGAAAAGGACCCACATGTACAAAAATATTTATAGCAGCTCTTTCTGTGGTGGCCAAGAATTGGAAATTGAGGAGATGCCCATCAATTGGAGAATTCTGGCTGAACAAGTTGTGGTATATGAATGTAATGTAGTACTGTTGTGCTATAAGAAATGATGAGCAGGCAGACTTCAGAAAAACCTGGAAAGACTTGTACAGACTGATGGTGAGTGAAGTGAGCAGAACCAGAAGAATGTTGTACACAGTGACAGCCACATTGTGTGATGACTAACTTTGATAGACTTAGCCCTTCTCAGGAATGCAAAGATCTCCAAAAGTGTCAGGATGGAAAATGCTATCCACATCCAGAGAAAGAACTATGGAGTTTGAATGCAGATCGAAGCACACTATTTGCTCTTTTTTTTGCTTCTGTTTTGTTTTGTTTCCTCTTTCTTGTGGTTCCTCCTATTGTTTCTAATTTTTCCTTACAACATGACTAATGTGAAAATATGTTTAATAGGAATGTATTTGTAGAGCCTATATCAGATTGCATGCTGTCTTGGGGAGGGAGGTGGGAAAGAAGGGGCAGAAAAATTTAAAACTCAAACGTGTATGGAAGTGATTGTTGAAAACTAAAAATAAATTAATTAAAATAAATTTTTAAAAAGAGTAGATCTGTAGATATTGGTCTTATAAGACCAACAAAAACCTTATCAATTTGTATCTTTGCAGAATCCTTCAGTTTCCCAGACCACTTAGATTAGAAGAACTGAGTTCTAAAGCCAAAATTGCTTTTGGACAGTCTATGGATCTACATTATACCAATAATGAGGTAACATAAAGAACTTCTGTTTTCTATATTTAATATCTGTGGTAGACGGTTAATAAATGTTGGATAAGTAATTGAATAATTTTATGCTCTTAATCTGGAAGAGAGAGTGTTTCAGGCAAGACTGCTTTGCTTCTTAGTATTCCAAGAAGATAGTGTATTCTAGAAACATAAGTAACCAAAATTAAATTTTGTACCTTTCTCTGCTTATATTTTAGTTTCTTTATATGTTTCTGATTTGTCAGAAGACTGGCAAAACCTGCAATGAAAATTATATAATAATAAACTTTAGAGAAAAATAGTGAATTTTATATATTTATTACAAAATTTCCCCTTTCTTTCTCATGTGACACAAGCCTCCAGACTTTCCATTTGAAGTTCTCATTCAGCTTCAGTAATAATAATATATTAGTCAGTGGAATTTATATAGATAAGATATATCTGTCTCTGTATCTCACAATTAAAACTTTCAGGTCTTATTCTTAACATTGGTTAAGATGTTATTTGATTATTGTGTCCAGTTTCTCAGTTTGAGCTTTAGATAATCAGAGCAGGAAGTCAGTTAATAAAAATTTTTAAGTACCAGCTATTTGCCAGACATTTTGATAAGCACTGCAGGATACAAAGGAAGGCAAAGACATTCCCTGTTCTCAAGGAGCTCCCAGTCAAATGGCAGAGAAAAACTCAAACAACTTTGTACAGATAAGACATGTACAGGATAAATAGGAAATAATCAATAGTGGGAAGTCATTAAAATTAAGGGGGATTATAAAAGATTTCCTATATAAGGTGAATTTTGACTAGGACTTGAAGGAAGACAAAAAACAGAGATGAGGAGGGAGAGCATTCCAGGAATAGGAGATAACTCGTGAAAATTCTTGGAGTAGGGAAATGGAGTTTCTTTTCTTGTGCAAAGAATAGCTAAAAGGCTAATGTCATTGGATTGCAGAATATATGGGGGACTATAAAGTGTAAGAAGACCAGAAAGATAAAATGTAGAGTGGGACAGGCTATAAAGTCTATAAAGGGCTTAGAATGCCAAATAGAAAATTTTATATTTGGTCAAGGAAGTGATGAGTTGCCAGTGGATTTTCTTGAGAAAGGATTTGACATAGTCAGACCTGCACTTTGGAGTGATAAGACATTTGTGGCAGGGAGACCAACCAGCAGGTTATTGCAATAGTCCAGGCAGGAGGTAATGAAGGTGGTAGCAGTTTCAGAGAAGGGGACATATGTAAGATGTTACTAAGGTAAAAATCTACTGGATTTGACAACAGATTGGATATGAGGAATGAGAGTGAGGAATTGAGGCTCACACCTAGGTTGTGAGCCTGGGTGACTGGGAGGATGTTGGTGCCCTCAACAGTAATAGAGAAGTTGGGAAGAGGGAAGAGTTTAGGGGAGTGCAATAATGAGTTGTTTTGGACATGTTGAGTTTAATATGTCTATGGGTCATCCCATTCAAGATGTCCATTGGCTATTGGAGACACAAATCTGAAGATTGGGGCTGATAAGTAACTTTGAGTGTAGAGAGGATAACTGAATCCACGGAAGCTAATGAAATTTCAAAATGAAATAGTGTAGAAGGAGAAGTGAAGAGAGCCCAGGACAGAGCCCTGTCCTAGAACATGGACACTTAATTAACAACAGATTACTTCTTATCCTGTGTGATTCTTTTCATTGTCTTTCTCCAAATCTTCCATAGAGGATCTTTTCCATAGTACTAGAAGATTACTCTCATTCTTTTAATATTTCATGGCTACCAGTACTGCACTAAGGTTGTACACTTGATGTCTTTCACTCTTGCTTCGTGACCAGCCAAGCTCTTTTTCCATACTTAGATGTCTTTTGCACCACTTCTGGTTACATAAACCACCTTTGGTAATATTTTGCAAACTGATTACACCAAACCATGCTTCTTTTCATATGTACTGTCTTCTTTGCTTTGATTCTTCTGAAATTGTCATTTTCATGTTTAACAGTCATATACTACTATTGGAATGATATCTCTCTATCTTTCTCTCTGTATATACCAATAACTCACATCACTGAACAGTAAATATTATAGGATCTTATATTCTTTACAGCTCTCAAATCAATTAATGACTGTCAAGAAATGGTCTGTTGTAGAAGATTGTCTCCTAAAGCATACTTGTTCTCTTTTCATATTTTCATCAAGGATATATTTGATACATGCACAAACTGGTATCACAAAGATTTTATAAGGATAAGAAAGTAAGCATATGTGTTGGTAGGTGTTAATGTTGTCTTAGTTGCCTCATTTGAGGTAGTAATGCTAGCTGTGATTTTTTTTTCCATTCTATGAGAATTTTCTCCTTTGATGTATATTAAAAATTAATCTTTCTTTAAGTTATTGCCTCTGGCATAGATTTTCTCTATATATTTTATTAGGTTCAGCCACTGTGATTTATATATATGTAGGTATAACATGACCTAAGGATCTAAAATTTTCATATTTTACCATAAATAAAATCTTCTAGGAAACATTTCTATATTAAGCTACATGTCGCAGAAAGCAATAATATTGACAGTATTGTTACCCAGGGATATTATGATGTGTTCTGGTATAAATATGTGATCTGTACACACTGTGGGTCTATCTTACGTATTAGAAATATAATATACAGACTTCTGTATCTCTGGTATAAAAATGAGTCAAGATTATTTCCTTCCCTAATATTAAGAAGAATCTTACTTCTATAGGATAAATGGATAATGGTGTAAGAGATTTGCCACAGCATCCTTATATTGGTGTGACACTTTAAAGCTTATGAAGCACTTTCCTCACACCAGCTGTGGGAAGTGCAAATATTGTCATGCCCTTTTTATAAATAATAAGCTAAGACTGAGAAGTAAAGTAACCTGACTAAGGCCCCATTGCTTAGAAGTGCCTGAGGCAGGATTCAAACCCACTCTTCTGATTCTAAGTTCAGCACTTAATTTTACTATACCATCCTGCCTCACATATAGCTCACACATATACCAATTAAAATTCATGTTTGGAATAAATTTGAACATGAATTTTAAATGTTTCTTTTTGAATCTTGATATTATATGCCAGAGTAATAACTCCATTACAGAGGAAAATGAGATTCATGTCATGACTTGTAGTTTCTTCCTTGATTTGTAAATGATTACAATCTATCCATTTAATAATCTCTTATATTTTTGTTAGAGATTGATATCAGGTTCATCAATCTGTGGTTTCTAGAATCTGACTCAAGATTTTCCCACTCCCATAAAAACTGGGACATTTTCTACCTATTGTTTATGATTTATCAAAGACCACTGACAGTATTTTAAAAATTATATTGGAAAATTCTTATAGTACATTGGGAGCTATAAAGAGTCTCTAGACTTTTTTAGTCTAACCTCAGCTTTCATTTTATAATTGAGTAAACTGAGGCCTACAGCAGTTGAAGTGATTTGCCCAAAGTCTGTCAAGTAGGTAGTGGCAAAGCTAGAATTCAAACTAAGATCATCTGATTAAATCCAATGTTACCTGGACCACCTAATGCCTGATTTGTCTCAGCCGCTAGTGTCCTCCTCACTAAATACCTTGTATTTAACCTTGTATTTATTTTGTATTTACTGTATGTGTGTTTTTGTGTACATAAATACACACACACACACAGAGTTTTTCGTAATAGATTATAAGTTCCTTGAGAGGATTGATCCACTATTTTTCTTTGTGTCACTAATATATAACACAGTGTCTGGCCGTAGTAGGGCACTTAATAAATACTCATTTAATGATTGTCACAAAAACAGTTCATTAATCAGGATGGAAGTTGGGTAAAAGTATTTATAGTTCTTGAAAAATCATCATCACTACTAGAAAAGTAACTTAATCACATGCCCTAATGTCATAGATTAGTAGCATTCTAGTATATGAAGGACTGAATTTTTGTGGATCTGATTCTTTTGTTAATAAAACCTAGCTTCCCTATTTGGGGCTGCCTATTTTAGCTAAAATAAAGTAAATTTTAAATAACAAACTTTAAAATAAATTTTGAATTTTAAAATAAAGTAAATGGAAGGAAATTTACATTTATCCTGAACTGAAACAGCCAATAATCTTAAGTTGCCATTTTAATATTATTATGAAATAGTATGGAATAATAGATATTCATAATGATAACCATAAGGCATAGAAATATCCAGAAATGTCTTCTGAACCAATAAATTTTTAATCACTAAACTATCGATTAAATTCAGTAGTTTTGCTGTTAACTTTATTTCATTATATTCTTTTAAATTAGAAATTCTTGCAAATATATTGGGAAAATATCAGCATTAAAAAAATTTTTTAATGCCCCTTTTAGTAGATAACGTTATTGAAACTTTTTCATGGACAATAGAACAGAAAACCTTTTTTTTTTTTAATGCTAGGTAGAGACAGGAAGGGATCTGCCCTTTAAGACTAGATTCCATTTGCTGTGTGCTTATTTGATCGGTCAGTTCTATACTAATATAACAAAGAAAGCCTGTTTTCATGAATGAGATTGACATGTTCTCAATAAGCAGGGAAGAAAAATATTCTATGATTTATTTAGAATAATTTCCACAAGCTGAGAATTGTTCTGTATTCTTAGTATAAGGTCTAAGAGACCTTAGAATGTAAGAGATAGTTTTGTTTTGTTTTTTTACCAACCCTGCCACATCAGAAGTATGGGCATTTATCCAAACCACTACTCCAGGAACCTCTCCAGAATTGTCAGATATTCAAGTCAGCAAACTAGAGTCATTTAAATTAGTATTTAGTTAATATATTTCAAGCTAGTGTTGTTTGGTTTTTATCTAAGAGCAACAGTATCTTAGAGAAGTAAATAAACCTATTGTAAATAATTTTTTGGAAGAAGTCAATAATTCATATTTCTTCCTTGTTGGAGGCTGCTTGATATGTAGAAAGAGAACTTTGGAGTCAGAAAGACCTGGTTTCAAATCTGACCTGTCTTACTGCCTGTGCGGCCTTGGATAAGTCATTTAGGCTCCATGGGCCTCATTTTCTTCATTGGTAAAATAAGAGATTAGACTAGGTGGCCTCTTTCAACTCTAAATCTGTGGTTCTATGATTTTTGAATGAAAACCCTAAAAAAAAAAAAAAAGTAGCACAAAATATTTATCATTTCTTTGAAGTATTTTTCCTGTGTTTAAAATGTCATCAAAGCATTAGGATTGAAAACCAAAAGAAACAACAGAACTAATAAGTGTCTGCATAAAATACTATCTGATTTGGAAGGAAAATCATGAAAATATTCCATTTAAGAAAGGTCATTCAGTTATAATATATCTTTCTTAGATAAAAATTGAAGTGTAGAGAAAAATTGCAAGTATAGTCAATTATAAAAATGTAATATGATCATGTAAAGAAATATCTCCAGATAATTAATTTTAACTGCTTTCTGCCAGAATTGAAAGTATCATGAGAATTGAGGGTATCATGGTAATTCACCATACTTACATGATTAATGTTGGGAAGTTGGGTAGAAATATCAGAAGTATCTAGCTTTTTCACTTTATTTTTGTCTTTCTAAGTATCTATACTGTGTGGCAAAAAATTCACTTTAAAAGAATTGTTTCACTCATTGTACTTGTATCCCTAGTGCCTAGCACCTAGTAGATGTTTAATAAATTATTGTTGGTTGATTGAAGGCATAAGAGAATTTGAAGTGTAGCTCAGTATGGCATCCTAACAATCAGATGGATTAACCTGCCAGTGTAGAAGCATCATGTAGATGTAGATATAGAAGCATATTCCTAATTAAGATATCTTCTCTTTAAAACTTGTGTAGCTGGTGATTCCATTAACTACACAAGATGACTTGGACAAAGCTGTAGAACTATTAGATCGCAGCATTCACATGAAGAGTCTCAAGATACTACTTGTAACACATGGCCATATACAGGTATGTATTTGCATACTTCATTCTAAGACTTAACAGTCAATTTCAATAAAGTTCTACCCGTGACATATAGTTATGATAAGTACTGTACAATTAGTGGTCACATCTGTAATATAATTGAATGTAAATTTGTTATTAGTATGATTCTTATGATTACATATGTCCCAATTCTTAAAGAATATAGCAAAAATTAAAGACAAGAATAATATATTTTAGGCATGAATCTTTTTTTTTTCTAATGGCATTTAAGAAACAAGTAACATGAAGTAAGATTTGAAAGATTTGGTGAGGCACACGTAGATGCTGAAGAATGTTCCAGATTGAGGCTACCTGAGAACATCGAAGAAGAAATATGATATAGTGGAAAGATTTTTTTTTTTTTGGTGAGGCAGTTGGGGTTAAGTGACTTGCCCAAGGTCACACAGCTAGTATGTGTCAAGTGTTTGGTCTGAGGCCGGATTTGAACTCAGGTCTTCCTGACTTCAGGGCCGGTGCTCTATCTACTGCGCCACCTAGCTGCCCGTAGTGGAAAGATTTTTGGATTTGGAGTCAGAAGAGTGGAGTTTAAGTTCCTTCTCTTCTACTTGCTAACTCTGTGAACTTGCACAAATAACTTTTCTGAGGCCCAATTCCCTTACCTGTGAAATAGGAATAATACTAGTTGTACTAATTACCTCATTGGTTTATGATGTTAATGAAATGAGATAAGATATGTAAATTATTTGTAAATTATAAAATGCTATTAATGTAAGCTATATGAATGTTAATATTTGGAAGATCAATTAGTGTGGTACTTCCACATCCACTTATTAGATCTATAATCATTATGGATTTCTGTGGCCAAAAATTTCATGACCTGGTGACCCTGCTAGTGATGATTATTATCCTATTAACTTGTAGGAAGATCATTATCTAGGAGTAAATGGAAAATCTTCTTTAGTCAGCAAATATTTATTACGTACCTGCAGTGTGTCAGGCACTGTGCTAATTAGATACAAAATAAAAAAAAATTCTCTCTTCTCAAGGAGCTCCAGTCCAGTGGGGTTGACAGTATGTAAACAACTGTGTACAAACCAGCTATTGAACAGAAAAATCAGACATAATTAAAAGAAGGAAGGCACTAGAATTAAGAGGGATCTGAAAAGGCTTCCTGTAGAGGGTGGGATTTTAGTTGGAATTTGAGGGAAGCGAGGAAACAGAGATCCAGAGGGGAGCATTCCAGGCGTAGGAGACAACCAGTAAAAATGCCTAGAGTTGGGAAGTGGAATTTATTGTGCAAGGAACAGCAAGGAGACCAGGGTCACTAGATTGCAGAGTACATGAGGTACTATAAAGTGTATGAAGACTAGGGGAGGAGATATGAAGGGCTTTAAGAGCCAAACAGAGGATTTTATATTTGGTCCTGAGATGATGGGGCTAGATAGAAGAAAAACAAAAAGAGTTCATATAGAATTTGTATAAACAGAATTGACTCTACAACACCTTTTTTTGTGATCCTCAAAGGACAATTTTCATATAGCTTATTTTCATTATTTAATATTCACATATGATGTTATATTGTATAATTTCAGTGGCAACATATGGAATAAAGCTATTATACTCTGGAAGTCTGCATGGACAAGAAAGCAAATAATTTACCATGAATAGATTGCCAGTTAGAGCAAAAAATAAAAAAGGTCTCAGAATAACAAAGTGGGTTATACTTGGAGGGAAATAAATATGTCCCCTTTGAAGGAATAATATGGGAAAGTTTCATTTATTTTTCTTTTTTCAATTATTAGGCTGCCAACTTGGAGCCTTTGCCATCACTGGAAGATTTGGATAATACAGTATTTAGAGTAACAGAGATTAAAAAACGGCTCCCTGTGATAGGTAAGAACTCCCATTTACTGAGTACAGAAATAGAGGCAGTTTTTGAGGATTTTTTTCTAGGCTTTCAGGTAGATATCATCCAAAATCATCTTTGCTAAATAGGAATCTGCTTGTTGTTTCTTTCACCTTTTTTTTTTTTTTTTTTTTTTTGTCTTTTTGGTTGGGCAATGGGGGTTAAGTGACTTGCCCAGGGTCACACAGCTAGTCAGTGTTATGTGTCTGAGGCTGGATTTGAACTCAGGTCCTCCTGACTCCAGGGCCAGTGCTCTATCCACTGTGCCCCCTAGCTGCCCCTCTTTCACCTTTCTTAGTAACCCTCTTCCTTTCTGCAGTAGTTCTTCAAAAATGTATTTCAGACAACAATAACAAAAAACCTGAATCCTGTTTAATTATAATGACAACCAGCTTTGACCTAAAGAAGAGAGGAGAAAATGTATCTCTCTCCCTTCTTTGTAACTATAGGTGTGGGATATTGCATAAATTGTCAAGGCTCTATTGATGTATTGGTTAGTTTTTCAGAATGTCTTTTTTTTTTTCTTCCTTCATTTTTATTCTTTGTTATAAGTTTTAATCTCCAGGGAAAGGGGTAAGAAGGGATATGTACAGAAAAATGAAGGTAAAGTTTTTGTTATTGTTGTTCAGTTGTGTCCAACTCTTTGTGACCCCATTTGGGGTTTTCTTGGCAAAGATGCTGAGGTGGTTTGCCAGTTCCTTCTCCAGCTCATTTTACAGATGAGGAGACTGAGTCAAACAGGGTTACGTAACTTAACTAGGGTCACACAAGGGTCTTTCAAGTATTACAAGGTTGGTAATCACCAGTGTTAATGTTTTTTTTTCCTACTATAGTTTCTTTATATTTGGTACAATCTCAAAATTATTAATATCATGAAGAGGTTTTACTTCTACAAAAAAAATCATTAGCCTTAATTTAACAGATGAACTTAATTCTGTATTTTTAAACTAATTTTTTTTGGTTTGTGTTAAGAACAAAGTAAAAATAAAAATTGCTAACTATTTCCAGGTAATTATTTATTTCTACTTAACTAGAATTCAGTGCTTTTGCATCCTGTTTGCATTAATACATGTCAGCTGAATATCAGTAGGAAGAAATATGATTTCTCCCTGCTGTTAAAGTAACTAAATCTTATAAATAGGTAGTAGACAGTTTTATGCATGGATAATTATAAAAGGGAATGGAAAAATTTCAAGGGTCTAGGGCTAATTACTATTAATGGTGATGATGAAGACAATAATAGTAGTTTGTATTTATATAGCACTTGAAGGTTTGCAAAGGACTTTATATTTATCTCATCTGATTTATTACATTTATCTATCTCATTAGTTTTGGGTGGTGATTAATAATAGAGTTGAAATGATATTGTAATCCCAGAAATATTTTAATAAGTAGTAATAATATTTGTGGAGCATCAACATGTGATCTGTTGTACAAAGTAAAAAAATTGTCTCAACTCCTGACTTAGTCAATTTTGAGAAAGGGTTTAATGGAGGAAGAAAAGTAAAATTATGGATAAGTATAGATTACACAGCTACTGAAGATAATGTAAAGGAACTTGTAATTGATGAGACTTGGAAAAGGGAACAAAAAACATAGATGGGAGAAAAAAATGCATGCTGCAATGAGAGAAGCATAAGGGGTGGGTTACAATCAGAGTTTTGGCAAGAAGTAATCACTAAAGATTAACAAAGAAGATTGTGGAATAAAGTTTTAGAAACAGTAGGAAAGGGCTAAATTGTGCTGTGAACTATAAGAGTAGCTATTGCTTCATAACTGATAGGCAATTTTTGACTTTTGCATTTGTATTCCATAGCAACAAACATGTACAGCCCCTGTCATTGCACTGGTTGATTAAGGATTGGTAACTCCATTTCTTAGTAGCATTTGTGAGCACATATCAGTTACATTTTTTTTGTTTGTTTAGAAAGAGTTAAAAATATAAAATGTAAAAGAAACAGAAAAAATAATCATTGATGATAATTTTTATGCAAATATATCTTGATCTAATATTCAGTCATTAGAATCACAAGACACAACATGGTTTATAGTGAAAAGACCTGGATTCAAGTTTTGCCTCTCGCATATGTTGGCTTTGTTACTCTGTGCTGGTCGCTCAACCTTCCAGTGTCCAAGGCTACTCAGTTGCTGATCTGCATTAGTAAAGGGAGTTCCCTCACTGGAAGTTCCATACACAGATAAAATAACAGTTGTCAACCAAACAAACCAAAGTTGATTCAGGAGACATGGCCCGAGATTCCAGCCATGATCATGAACAAATCACAAAATGTGAATTCTTTAGTTTCCTCATCTGTTCTGCTCACCTCAAGGAGTTGTTATAAGGATCAAGTGACACATATACATACACACACACACACACACACACACAAATTTATACATTTGTATAAAACTAATGAATGATAAATATCTTTGTCTTAAAATATATTAGTGCCAACCTAAACTTATCCCCAAACAGTACAATTATATTAGTATATATAAGCTAAATGTACTTAACTTGATCTTTAAATTGTTTAATATAGTCAAAATATAGATTTAACTTATTTTATCTTCCAGGATGATGAATTCTTTCCATTGGATTTCAATACAAGTATGAGACAAAATTAAAACTATATGAATATAACATATTTGAATGTCTGAGAGGAAAGCCCTAGGTTTTGAATGCCTTTGTTATGGCCCTGGTCATTCATGGACTGGTGTCTATTTAATTTTTTTGTTTTTTTAAGAAAAATTTTTCTGAGGTAGAAGGTATGCCAGTATGAAATATCAAGAAGTAATTGGCATACTACTAACAAAAACTGGGAAAATAATGTTCTCCCAAAATGCCTAAGTAGCACACCAGATGGAGTGCTGGTCCTGGAGTCAGGTCAAGTAGACTGGAGTTCAGATGCAGCTTTAGACACTTTCTAGCTGTGTAACCCTGGGCAAGTCACTTAACTCTTATTTGCTCAGTTTCCTCATTTATAAAATGGGGGTGATAATAATAGCACCTGCATTCCAGGGTTGTTGTGAAGATTGAATGAAATAATCATTTTAAAGCACTTAGCACAGTGCCTGGCACGTAGCACATGACAGATACACACACACACACACACACATTATTTTGTTGATTGGTCATGTCCAACTCTTGGTAACCCAATTTGGGGTTTTCTTGGCAAAGATACTAGAATGATTTGCCATTTTCTTCTCCAGCTTATTTTACAGATGAAGAAACAGAGGCAAACAGGGTTAAATGACTTGCCTAGAGTCACACAGCTAGTAAGGGTCTGAGGATAGATTTGAACTCAAGTCCTCCTGACTCCAGAGCTTTTATTCTATCTACTACACTACACCACATAGCTGCCATATATGTGTAGTATATGTATATATGGATATACACACACATATTTGTGTGTATATATACACACAACATATATGTTAACTGTTATTAGCTAGCTGTTCTTCCCAGCTTTTGTTCCTAACTTTTCACACTGAGAATGTATTGGCATTTCTCTTACATGACAGTCATCCTCTCTCTCTAATCTTTAACCTTTCCCTATTTACTGGTTTCTTTCCCTACTGCCTTCAGATATATTCAAGTCTCTCCCATCTTTTAAGAAAACACATTCATTAGACCCTCCCATTCTCTCAGGCTATTGTCTAGGAAGCCATACTCTTGGGAAAAGCTGTCTGCATTCATTGCTTCCACTTACTTTCCTCACATTCTCTCTTTAGACCTTTGCAATATGACTTGTGACTTTATCACTCAATTAAAATTGCTTTCTCCCAAATTAATCAATAATCTCTTCATTGCCAAAGCTGATGATATTTTCTCAGACCTCAACTGCTTAACTTCTCTGCAGCATTTGACACTGTTGACTGCTCTCTTTCCTATCTGGCTTTTCTTAAAACCACTCTCTCCTGGTTCTCCTTTCTGTCTGATCACTCTTTCATGGTTCATTATCCTTATCGTGCTCCTACCTCTCTCCTCTTCACAACCTGGCCTCAGCCTGTATTTCTTGGTACGTTACACATTCTTCCCCTTCCTGTGCTCTGTTGTTCAGGCAAATTGGCCTTCTTCCTGTTCTCTTACACAGGGCACTCCATCTCCTAACACCATGACTTTGCAGGGTCTATCTCCCATCCCTGGAATATATTCCATCTTCACCATTGTATGTAGGATAAAATACGTAATCTGTGGGCTGTCACTTAAGTACTTGTCCAATCTAACTGTAACAGCTAATGGTGGTCTGTGCCACTACCTCTTGAATGAGAGGTGATGCATTTGAGATGCAGACTAACATACAACTTTGAATGTGGATAATGCACGACCATGGGAGAAAATAAATTCTTTCTAGTTAAAAAATTGGTGTCATGAAGAATCAGACATGACTGAACAACACCAAAAATTTAAACATAAAGTAATAACTATCTAGTTCTGACCTACATTTCTAACATCATTTTATATTGCTTCCCTTCACAAACTCAATTTCAGGCAAACTAGACTACACACATTCCCAGAGTTTAATACTCTGTCTCCTTCTTGTCCCTGTGAATTTACATGTAATTCTCCATTGCTGAAATGCACTTTCTTCTCATTGCTGCCTTTTAGAATTCTTGGCTATGTTCAAGGTTTATCTCCCATGTTGTCTCTTCCGTTGAAACCTTTCCTAATATCCCCAGTTAATAGTGTTCTCCCATCTCAATTTTCCTTTTATTATACACGCATGTATACATGTTACATCTCCCAGATCTCCTTGAGTTCAGGTAGTGTTTTGGTTTTGTCATTCTGTCCTCCCTTGAATAATGCTTTACATGTTCAATTCATTTAAGCCTGACTATTTTTAGAGATATCCCAAGAAGTAATTATATCTTTTAGGGTTCACCATATTTCGGCTTTCAGCTTTGCAAATTCAGAAAGATGTGGTAAGGATTTGGTAGATTGATTCATAAAAAGCAAAACTCAGAATAGATTGATTTATAAACCAAGATGCTAATTCATTTATACCAGGAGATATGTCTAGGATAAAGGCTGATTCTGGTCATCCATTCATCCTCATAGCCAGGCCTCTCAAGAAATCATATTACAGATCAGAAGGTTGTTTTTTGTTTTTGTTTGTTTTGATAAATAATTATAGCAAAGAGAGCTATGTTCTTCAAGGACATTTTTTAAAAATAAATTTTGATATCACTTGTTTCTTGTACTATCTACATTTCCTAATATTATACTTCTCTTTGCCCTCCCCACTCCCCTGGCACTCCTTAAATCAGGACTTCTTAAACTTTTTTGTGTGTCATAGAGCCCTGTGGCAGTTTGCTGAAGCTTATGGACTCTTCAGGCTAATGTCTTTAAATGTATAACAAAAAATAAAGGATTGCAAAGGAAAACAATTATTGAAATGCAATTATAAACTTTTTTTTTAAAAAAAGTTCACAGACCCCCAAGTTAAGAACCCCTACTCTATAGGAACCCAAGTGTTAGAGATAATTTATATTTTGCCATTGATTGACAACTTGAAATATTTAAGAATCTATTAGTATAAGTTAATTAAAGTATTCAAACTGTGGTTCAGAAATCTTTGTTAAGATAGAAAATAGAATATAAATAAACTTATTTACTGATAATTATATGTTCAGTATTTTAATGACTTTTTTTTTTTTTCAATCTGAAGTTCCTACTACTAGAGATAGAAGTTCACCTCCCCCTGGTTACATTCCAGATGAACTACATCAGGTTGCTAGAAATGGGTCATTTACTAGTATCAACAGTGAAGGAGAGTTTATTCCAGAAAGCATGGACCAAGTAAGTAAATTAATTGTATAATTGAGGGGCGGGGGGCTGTCAAGATCATGGAGCTTTTATTAACAAAGGTTTGCCAGGAACCTGATATGTATCTTATTTTGACCTATATAATCTGTAATAACTGTCTTCTCTAGTAAGTTGAACAGAGCAACTCCTGTTGCTCACTAAGTTGGGACTAGTTGTTTGTTTTTGTATAGAAAAATCTAGCTTATCAGTGTTTTTTATCTAAAAAAATTATGTCTGCTAATTCAGAGATTATCAGTGGTTTTATATGTGTTTCAGAGAGAAAAGGGGAAAGGCTAATAGAGTGATTATAATTTTCTGCTGTAACTCTGTGACATAGGAATTTGAGGGCTTTAAAAATTTTATTAGTATTTTTAAAATATTGCCATTTTGAGGTATTAAAGTGTAATACTTCTCTTTTTGGAAACATAAAGATAGTGACTTACCTGGAGAAACTAATTTTAAGCTTAACATCCAGAAACTTCTCCTTCAACATTATAATGATATTCCATTTCTAGATGTTGGATCCACTCTCATTGAGCAGTCCTGAAAATTCTGGCTCAGGAAGCTGTCCATCACTTGATAGCCCTCTGGATGGGTAAGGTCATGAGTGCTTATCTATGATAGATATTCAGAGAGATATGGGTGGCAGTGAAGGTAAATAAGAATATTATATTCTTAAGCTCAACTTTAGCAAGTCACTTAGTTTCTTTGGGTCTTCATCTTTAAAAATTGTTGGACCTCCATATCATCAAATATTCCTTTCAATGCTAAATACCTAAGTATCTTTTTTTTTCCCAAATGTGTTTAAAACAGCTTAAACTGAGAACTGAAGCTGATTTATGTTTCAGTTTTAGTTTTTTATATGCTCTTTTTAAAATATATAGGATTTTTACTCTGCCTGCTTCCAAAAACTCTTTAAAGTAGCATATGAAATTAACACTTTAAAATGAAATAATAAAAGAAACAAAAACTAGTTAAAAGGAACAGAGAAGTAATGTTGCAAATCAACAAGGGTGCGTAGACTACCCTAATATCTAGAGCTGAATTTAGCTCTGAATTTCCTGGAAGCTAAGGCAAAGAGGAAAACCCAAAAGTTAATCTAGAGAGACATACTTTTGCAGGCACTGAATTTAAGGAAGAATTATAATGTGTTTTTATAAAAGTAAGGAACTTTGCACAGCAGCAAAATTTCTAACATCCTTAATTCTGATTTATTTTGTGAAGCACAAAAAAGGATTTTCAAAGGATTGTTTCTTAAACTGACTATAAAAATTAAACTAAAGGAATAATTTTAAATCTTAATTCATCAATAAAGGCAAATCCACAGACATCAAGCATCTACTGCTAAATAAGCTAGGGTGCCCAGGAAAGATAAAAAATTTTACACATAAGGAAACTGAGACTAAGAGGTTAAGTAACTTGCCAATTGTCACATATCTTGGAAGTATCTGTGGTAGGACTCAAATTTAGGTCTTCTGACTACAAGTTCATTCTATCTCACCAAATCATAAGCATAAGAAAGGAGACCAAAATAATTGGAGAAATATTCGATTTTCATAGGTAGGTCAAGCCAGAGTAATGAAAATGGCAATACTACCAAAATTAATTTTCATAGTGCCATACCAATTAAACTAAAAAAGTTTTGCTTTATAGAGCTAAAAAGAGTTAATAACAAAATTCATCTGAAAGAGCAAAAGATCAAGAATCTCAAAGGAAAGAATGAAAAAAAGTAGAAAAAAAGGGGGCCTAGCAATACCAGATCTTAAACTACACCACATAGCATTTTCATCAAAGCGATTTTGTACTGATTCAAAAATAGAGAGATTGACCAATGAAACAGATGAAGTACACAACATATAGAAGCTTATGAATCTTAGTCTAGTGTTTAGTAAACACAAAGACCGTAGTTACTGGAGTAAGGACTCACTAATCAACAAAAATTTCTGGAAAAATTTAAAAGCAGCCTGGCAAAAATTAGATTTAGACCACCACTCAATACCATATACCAATATAAGTTCCAGCTGGTTTTAGAAACTAGATATAAAACGTCACACCAAGCGTAAGAAAGGTTATTCTGTCAGTAGTATGAAGGATGATTGACAGTGGGGATTATAGTAGTGCAAGTGATGGGTAGATTTTTAGGTGACATAAAGTAAAACAGGACCAAGGACAGAATCTTGGGGAAAACCCACAGTAAGATATCAGGAAGAGTATGAAAAAGCAGAGAGGAGTAGAGAAAGGAAGAGAGAAACAATAGAGTGATGTTTCTGAAATAAAGGGGGGGGAAGAATTTTTTAGTAAAGGATAGTGGTGAATGATGTCAGACGTTTAGTGAGATGAAGAGTGAAAACGCCATTAGATTAGTAATTGGGAGGTCAGATTAGTTTTAGCAGAGCAGAGGGAGCAAAAGTTAGATTGTGAGCAGTGAGTATAAGGAGGATATGAGTAAGCAGAAGTATCAAATGTAGAAAATGATTTTAAATTACTTAGCAGTGAAGGGGAGGAGAGAGTGAGAACATTAACTTGATGTTGACATCCTTAGGCAGATAACTCCTAAACCTTTATATACAACTCTAACCTCTTGTTAACACTCCATTTCCATGTCAACAGCTTCCTGCTAGACATCTGTACTTAGATGTCACATAGGTATCTCAAACTAAGTTTTCTAAAACTCTTCCATATTACCTTAATTTATTTTGATGGTACCACCATCTTCCCAGGCACCCAGGTTTGTAGCCTCACAGTTGTCCAAGACTCTTCCTTCTCCTTCTCTTTCACCTCTACCTTCTAATCAATTGCTAAGTCCTGTCAGTTTTACCTTCACAGTATTTCTCAAATCTGTCTTATTGCCACCACCCTAGTTTAGGCTTTCATTACCTCTTAGACTATTATGATAATATCCTAATTGATCTCCCTTGTTCCATTATCTTCCCTTTCCAGTTAGTATCCTTCATACTTCCAAAATAATCTTACCAATGTGCAAGTCTGCCCATCTCCCCTCCTTAAAAAACCATCAGTAGCTTACTGTTTGCTTCCAGGATAAAATATAAACTCCTCAACATGGCATGTAAACCCTCCACAATATGACTCCAGCCTGCCTTTTTATCCTTTATATTTCTCTTTCACGTGCTTTACATTCCAACCAAATTTACTCTCAGGTAGTGCCAGAATTCAACATTCCTTCTTCCACCTCTGCATTCACAGAAACTATCTCACTTGCTTGAAATGCACTCCCTTTTCATTGTTGCCTTTCCAAATCTGTGTCATCTTTTAAAACTCAGCTCAAATACCACCTACTCCATTAAGCCTATGCAATCCTCCTTCCCTTCACCAGGTATTAGTACCGTCTTTATCCTCAAATTACCTTGTATTTATTACTCATGTGTCTTTGTGAGAGTGTGTATTATATTACCTTAGCAGAATCTCAGCCCATTGCAAGTAGTAACATTTATTTTTGTCTTTGTCTCTTCAGTATAATAATTGAAGCTCAGACAGTGAGTGAAATTGTTTATCATATACAGAGACAGAAGAAAAAGGCAACAGACAGAACCTTGAGTAATTGTTATTTGACTTGAATAATAATAATTTTAAAGACTTAAGGAGAAAAGAAGGAGCCATCTAAGGCTATAGAGGAGAAGTTAGAGAATGAGGAGTAAAGCCAGAATAATATGATGTCTAGGAAGCCTAGGGAAGAAGGGATACCCAGGGAGAGATGGGGTGATAAGTGTCAGATGTTGCAAAGAGGTCAGACAGGCCAACCACTGAAAATTGACATTTTATATAGCAAATTAGGAAATGATTGCTGTATTTTGAGAAATTCAATGCAGTGGGTAGGGACAGATGCCAGGACACAAGGAATTGAAGTGAGATACAAACATCTTTAAATCATTCTCTGTACCCTAATGATAGTATCTACAACTGAGTATGGATGATGTGACAGGTACAAATATATAGTGCTTCAGTGGAACTATGATTTCATCCATGTGCACTTCATGGGTACAGATTGCCACTATTCATACTTTTTTAGCCTGTTATTCTTGTCCATGCCCTCACATTAACCCTCTAAAGAGGACATTAAACTTATCAGAAGGCCTCTTTTTTTTTTGCTTCTTATCAAAGAAATTTATTTGCAAGTAAATAAACAGGTTCTTTTGCAATGTTTTGGAAAAACAAACCCACAAAACAGATTTTTGTGTACTTTCAAAATAAAATAAGGAAACCCCCAAAGTATTTACAGAATTGCACAAACAAAAGTCAAATTGGAAAACATTCTTTCTATGATGATTTAGAAAAGATCCACCCCTGCTCCTGATGCACATTTCTGAACTCAAGAACTGTACAAGTTCAGTTCCCACAGTTTAGCATAATTCCCATCCTGGCTTTTGACATTAAACGCCCCCAAAAGATGAGAATCCAACCCCAAGATAAAAATAAAGACAAAATAACAGCCCCTCCCCAATGCACTATGAACAACTATCTCCTTTACTGTGGCATCTACAAGAAGTGATTTAATCATGGATACTGCATGACTCATGGGCTCCTGGAAAAAGTTTGTTCTACCTGGAGTTCATGATACTGTGTATTGCATTTTCTGATCTGGACCTTAGGAAGGAAAATCCTGTCAGTATAAAACCAACATCCTCAATCCTTGTTTTGGCAAGTATTACCCTGCTTCATGTTTCCCTCTCAAATACTTTGCTTTAAAAACACATTTTTTTTTGGATCATTTGAAATCCTCATGTGCAGTGGAGCAACTTATTATTTTGACTAACCATTCCAGAGACCTTTTTTTAAATCTTTTAACATATTGTTTATACTAGAGCAGTAGTTGGGTTATCTCTCTGTTATACCTTTTTTCCAATGTTGCTTTTCTTTTTCAGGGTATAGACTCTTTTCCTTTTGTTTGGGCTTCCTCTTTCCTATCTCAAAGGATTTTCAAATTTAAAATCAAAATAAAATACAATTATTTAAAAAAAACCAAGAAGATAAAAGCTGTTAGTAATTGCCCTGGAACAGCTAAGTTGAAGTAGGATTTCCTCAGTATCTTTGAGGAGAGAAGATTGTAAGTTTCTAGTTTGCAGGTTAAGGGCTCCAGGAAGAGAGCCCTTCAGCTGGTGCCAAAGATTTGGTAACAGACCAGAGATTTGCCCTTTATATACCTGAGAAAGGAGAGACAAACTATCCAGTCGACACAAGGTTCTCCTTACTTTTGAGACAGCTTTAGGCGATAATAGCAGGTGCCAAAATACAGTACTCTCAAACTTATAAATATTTTTATTTGTTTAAGTATCTCTTATCTGCTAAATCCATTGGTCATTCTTAGTCCTCATACAAATTGACTTCTCTGCAGCTTTTGATGATACCAACTATCATCTCTTTCCTTCACTTCTATGAAGCTATTCCATCCTGATTTTCCTTTTACCTGTCTGATTACTCTTTAAACTCCTTTGATGGTCTGTTCCCTTAAATATGAGTGTCCCACAGGACTGTACCCTGGTCTTCTCAGTGCTCTCTTGGTGGTTTCAGCAGCTTCCATGAATTCAGTTAACTTTACACAAATGACTCCTCAAATATATTCCAGCATAAACTCCCCTGATTTCCAATCCCATATCACCAACTACCTGTTAGGCATTCATCTCTACCTAGATGTCCTGCTGACATCTCAAACTCATCTAAACTTACCCTTCCAAATCCTTCCAGTCACCTATATTTGCCACTTCAGTTTCATTTTTGACTCTTTCCTTTCTCCTGCTCTTTCTTTCTCTTTTCCCTAACCTCAGTCTCCATAGCCACTTGCCACGTCTTGTGGATTTTACTTCTTATGCCATCTCTTGCATCAGTCAATCAATAGATATTTAATATATCTACCCTCTTCTCTCTATACATATTGCTATTACTCTAGTATGGTACTTAATCACCTCTCTCCTATACTATTTATATTAGCTTTTTAATTGATCTTCTTTCCAGCTTTTTGACTTTCTAATCTGTCCTCCCACAACGTCCAGAATAATCTTTCTGAGGCACGTTTGATCATCATCTTTCTCAAGCTCAAAAACCTTAAATGGTTCACCTTTGCCTAAAGTACAAAACACAAACCCTTTAGCCTAGCATTTTAAGGTCTTTCAGAGTTTGGCCCTGACCTTCATTTGCAGCCTTATTTCATTCTGTTCCCCTACAGGAACTTTGTGTTCTAGCCAAATTGGACCGCTAGCCATTTCTCAGATATAATACTCCATCTGTTAACTCCATACATTCACACAGGCCATTCCCATCCCCTGGATGTGCTTTCTCCCCATCTCTGCTTCTTTGAATTTTTTTCTTCTTTCAAGGCTATGCTTAAGTGTCACCCACTAATTCTCTCCCACCTCAGTTTTCCTCGTACTATACTTATTTGTGGATATGGTGAATCCTTCCAAAACAATGGAAGCAAGTACCTTGAGGGAAAGGACTATTTATTCTTTTTTTTCTTTTGTAGTCTCAGCACCTAGCACAGTGCCTAATATGTGGGTATTTACTAAGTGTTTTGAGTTGAATTGTCTTGAATGTACATTTGGCACCATATTCTTGGAGATCATTGTAGCTCTGCTTAAAGGTTCCTTGATATGTGGACTTGGAACTTTTAAAGTTTTGTTAAATATATTTGCCTTCCATAGAATAAAATGGCTGGTTTTTTTTAGGCAGAGGAGAAACTAGTTGCTTCTGAGATCTTTGCTAAAAGTACTCCGTGTCTTGGTTTCACAGAAGTAATTCTTATGGTATACATTCTGCTATAGCTCACAAGAATGGAGCGTAATGATCTTTGGGGAAATCTGCAGTTCCTTGAACCTTCTGAAAATTTGTGAAAGTAATGTGTTGAAATATGTCATAGATGTAGTATCAGATCATGATACATACTTAATTTTCAGATGCCCACATATGTGGAATGTGTGGTTGTCATATATAACTGGTTTGATAAATGGAAAGCAAAACTGGCAAGTTTTTTTCCTATATAATGCTAAATAGCTGGAGTAACTGATTTTTTTCACCTTTAGCTGTCTTGATAGACAAAGCCTTTGCCTATAAACTACCTCACTATTAGGATACTCCTTTAACGCCACACCTCAATGTGTCATCACATATATAGAAAGTTTATGAGTGGAATTTCAGGGGCAGTTCCAATAATTTTAATATTTTGGATTCCAATATTGCTCATTAAAATTTGTATTTGCCATTACTAATTTTTTTTTGTACATTACATTTTACATTTGTAGTGACAGCTATCCCAAAACTCGAATGCCAAGAGCACAGAGCTATCCAGATAATCATCAGGAATTTACAGGTTAGATTATATGATTCCAGATATTAAAATTTTTTACTTTATATTTAAGCTGGCTTTTTTATGTAAATGGAAAAATATTAAGGAAAATTTTTAAATTTGCAAAATGCTTTTTTTCAATGGGGAACAGTTTATAAAGTACAGTCTGTTTTAAGTCATGCCTACCTATGAAATTATTTATCCAAACTTAATGGGAGAAAGGACTATTGAAAGATATGCAGAGAAATTAGTATGCTTTGCTATCCTTATGTATAGGGGAAGACTTCCTGAGATATGTTTTGGACTAATTTTTTAATAGCTAGATTGTGGTATGTATATATGTACATGTATGTGTATGACTGTCTAGAAAATGTCTAAGCTAAATTGATGCAATGTAGAAAGTTGTGTTATTTTGTAAGGTAAAAATAACATACTCTGTTAGGTGTGGGGTTTTCAGGTTTTGGTTTGGTTTTTTTTGTGTGTGTGTTTTTTTGGTGAGGCAGTCGGGGTTAAGTGAAGATTACTTTTTTTAAAAAGTTTTTTAAAGATTACCTTTTTCTGTCAGATTATGATAATCCTATCTTTGAGAAATTTGGAAAAGGAGGTACTTATCCAAGAAGATACCATGTATCATATCACCATCCAGATTATAATGATGGTAAGTTTCTTGGCATTTTGAATTCAGAATCTATAGCAAAATTCTATTTTTAATGCTGCTAGAAATGCTTTTTTTTATCCCCCAAAATGAAAGCTAAATTCTTAAGGAAGATTTGAGTAAGCTTTTCTTTCATTTTAAAATTAAGATTTTTATCCAGATTCATTGCTATTAATTATTCAAATAAGATAGTGTTTTTCCAAATAAATTGCTAGTTTCTTGTTTTTCATAAAAATTTGTTTTTACGAATTAACATTGGTCCTTAGGCATTCGGTTTTGTAACTTTCCCAAAAAGTATATGAAATTGGCTAGTACCTTCACATGAAGTCTACTTAATAATATCTTCATAACAAAAGCCATTCTTATCTCACAATGGCCTTTGGTTTCTGTTGCCTGTCCAGTTCTCTCATCCATTTCTGCTTCCACCTATTCTCTTCCCTAGTTTCCTTATTTTTTTTAATAATGTTCTGTGTCACACATATATAACCTTAAATTAATTCTTTGTAGAAAAGCTAATAGAATGTAGTCATATGACTGCTAATGTTAACGTTACCTGGTTTAGACACAGAAAAAACTTGTATTATTCCTTCGACTACAAATTTTAAATGATTTAAACTCTAGCACCATTAATAAATTATAATGTAATTTTAAAAATTATTTTATAGGTCGAAAAACTTTTCCAAGGGCCAGAAGGACTCAAGGGAACAGCTTTCGTTCTCCAGTCAGTTTCAGTCCTACTGATCATTCATTAAGTACCAGCAGTGGAAGCAGCATCTTTACTCCAGAGTATGAGGATAGCCGAATGAGAAGGGGAAGTGATATAGAGAATCCCACTCTGACTGTAATGGACATAAGCCCTCCCAGCCGTTGTAAGTAGTAGTAATTGGTACACTAAAATTTTTAGTAGAAACTTCAAGATTTTAAAGCTCTGAATGTCTTACCCGTAAATGCCATGAAACTGCTTCCCTCAAAGCTATATGTTCTCAATCTGAGGCCAAGGAATGGTCTCTCAGGATAGTGGAAGATTGGAGCATCAGCACGGTGCCACTCCCAGTTACTCTGGGAGATTCTACTCTGCTGCTCTTTTATTTTAATGAGGAAAGTGTCACTGCCAATTGTGTAAAAATTAATAAAAAAATTTACTAAGATTTCTTTCATTGCTCATTTATAAATATGTTGCCTTTTCTTTCTCTCTACTCCAACCATATAATTGTAATTCTGTGTTTTTAATTAGTTTTTATTGTAATCTTTTGTTTTTATACACCATCATAATTTCTCCCACTGCTCTTCCTCTTCCCTCCCAGAGAACCATCCAATGTAATAAACAATATTTAAAAATTTTTTTTTTAGGCGTTAGGGTTAAGTGACTTGCCCAGGGTTACATACCTAGTAAGTGTCAAGTGTTTGGTCTGAAGTCAAATTTGAACTCAGGTCCTTCTGACTTCAGAGCCAGTGCTCTATCCACTGCGCCACCTAGCTGCCCCTAAAAGATGTTTTGGTTTTTTTTTTGTTTTGTTTTTTTAAAGAAAAAGAGGGGGGAAATCAGCATAACTGATCAATACATCAAAAAAAAATGTATGTAATATACAATATTTATGGACCTCCCGCCTTTGAAAGGGGTGGGAGTGGGGAGAAAATGTCTTCTCCTATCTTATCTTTTGAGCCGTGCTTTTTCTTTATAATTTTGCAGCATTCAGTTTTGACTCTTTTATGATTGTTCTTTCCATTTACATTGCTGCTATTATTGTGAATATTGTTTTCTTGGCTTTGGTCTGCAGTAGTTCATGTAGATCTCTCCTTGCTTCTCTATATTCATCACATGCCTCATTTCTTACAGTAGAGTAATATTCCATTACATTCAAGTATCATTATTTGTTTAGCCATTCCCCAGTAAATGGACATCTACTTTGTTTCTAATTCTTTGCTATCACAAAAATTGCTGCTATAAAGATTTTGATATATATGAAGACTTTCCTCTTATCAATAGCCTTCTTGGGGTATAAAGCTAGTAATGGAATCTCTGGGTCAAAAGGATATTTTAGTCACTTTATTTGCATAATTCCAAATTGCTTTCCAAAATGGATATACTGATTCAAAGCTCTGCCAAAAATGCACTGTCTGTCTTTCTACAACCTCTCCAACATTGACTATTCCCATCTTTTGTTACCTTTGCCAGTTTGCAGAATATAAAGTAAAGCCTCAAGGTTGTTTTTATTTGCATTTCTCTTATTAGTGGTTTGCTACATTTTTTACATGGATGTTAATAGTTTGCAGTTTTTCTTTTGAAAACTATTCATATCCTTTCATGGCCTATCTTTTGAGAGTGGTTTTTGGGCCTTTAAATATCTTAGATATCACAGTCTTATCAGAGAAATTTGATATAAAATTTTTCCCTCATTCAGCACTTCCCTTCTTATTCTAGATACATTAATTTTGTTTGTACAGAGGCTAAGTTGTTATTCTTTAAATATAATTTCAGCTCAGCTAGTGGCTATAACTCTGGCAGGGAGAATTTCCTTTTTCTTGGCCACATGCTCTTATCCACTTCTCCACCTAGCTCCCTCATTAAGGTTCATTAGTGTACTTGCATGTAGGTTTTCTAAGCTTCAAGTGCCATTGTTATAAGTTTGAATTTCTTTTCCAAGAATACAAATAGAAATTCATAGATGGATTTTATAGTGAAGACTTAACCAATCTCTTTATCTAGTGTCCTGGGTTGTGAGGATATTCCTGCTAAATTTATCTCATAATGAGAAGAGTATGGTGTTTGGCTCTCTTGTGAATGCTATGGAAATCACTTAGCCTTCATTTCAAAGTAGTGATAATATCAATAATTCAAATCGTACGGTTTATTTTATTTCATTTATATTTAAAGTTTAATACTTCATTACCCTAAGATGTGAGTTTTTTCAACTTACAAAGCTTATAAAAAAGATATGATTTAAGATTCTTTAAAGTGTGTTTTAGAGTAGAATCATAAGATCATGGATTCAGAACTAGAAGGGCCCTCAGAAGCCTTCAAGTCCAAATGCCTCATTGGAAGCATTGGAGGTTAGGGAGGAAACTAAGGGGAGAGAGATTCAGTTTATTTCCCAAGGCCACATAACAAGTAAGTGTCTGAAGCACAATTTTAAACTGAGGTCTTCCTTTTTCAAGTCCAGCACAGGAAAGGACTAACAGCAGAACAGATAAAGTGCTTTGCCTCTTAACTTCCATTTTGGTATTTTGTCATTAATAGAAGTGTGGTACTTAAATATTAGAATATTTAGCACTTTAAAAATTCAACTGATTTTTGGTTGCCTTTGGATTCTGTGGCCAAAAGCTTATCAAGAACATTTGTTACAGAACATACTTTCTTTGGTGATCTTGTGGCATTTCTTAAAATCAACTTGTAATACTTTCAACTCCTTTTTCTATTATTTTTCCTACCTTGGACCTGCTAAACTAAGAGCAACACTTTTCCAAAGAAGAAATAAAAGAGTACATGTCTTTGGTTTAAAAATTTTTCATAAATTCTCTGAAAGGTGGTAACCAAGATATGCCCTTTAAAGCTTTTCTTGAATAGCTAAATATGTATTAATTTAACTTTAATGCCCTTACTCATTTGATTTCTAATTGTTTGTTTATATTGTTAACTATATCCTACTAAGTAAAAGATCTATTTTTCAGCACCACGAGCACCAACTAACTGGAGACTGGGCAAATTGCTTGGTCAGGGAGCCTTTGGCAGAGTATATTTATGTTATGATGTTGATACAGGAAGAGAGCTTGCTGTTAAACAAGTTCAGTTTGACCCTGATAGTCCAGAGACTAGCAAGGTAAGAACCATCATATAAACTGCAATTACATCTTTATATTTTTAGCGAATTAAATGTAATATGCAGTGGCATTTCCTACTTTCTCTTAACATAAATTATTTCAGTTCTTCATTGAAAGGTTTTGGTATAAATCATTCTAAAATTTTTATTATAACATGAATTTTCCTTTTCAGTGAAACAAATGAAAAATCTGATTCAATATAGTTTTAACCATTAATCATAGATAAAGTTTCTGCTATCAAAGGCATGTTGTTTATGGGTGTTTTATAGTGTGTTATTTCCCAATGGATATTTTCAAGCAAACTGCATCATTTTCATCATCTAGATTAGTTATGTCACATCTTTTGGCTGTAATTGTTCTAGGAATTTTATAAACTTTACTATAAATTATGTTTCAGGAAGTAAATGCACTTGAGTGTGAAATTCAGTTGTTGAAAAACCTGCTGCATGAGCGAATTGTTCAGTATTATGGCTGCTTACGTGATCCCCAGGAAAGAACACTTTCCATATTTATGGAATATATGCCAGGGGTGAGTTAGTAAAGCTTTTAAGAAAGTATTTGTTATTCAAGGTATGTCTTAAAATAAAGACCATACAAAAGTTTTAGACCCAAAGTAATCTTTTTGTTAATAAATGGATAGTCTAATGACAAAGAAAGGCTAGGAGAATATGCAAGCTTAAAGGAAAAGTTAAATGAGTTATAGGAGGAAATCGTAAAGCTATACTAGTAGGGGACTTCAACTTTCTCTTCTTGAAACTAGATAAATCTAAGAAAAACTAAACAAGAAAGAGTTAAGGAGATGAATAGAACTTTAGGAAAGTTAGATAAGCTAGACCTCTGGAGAAAATTGAATGGGAATAGATAAGAATATACTTTTTTCTCAGTAGTCCATGGCGCCCACACAAAAATTCACCCTGGGCATAAAAAAACCTCACAACCAAATGCAGAAAAGCAGAAATATTAAATGCATCCTTTTCAGATCATAATGCAATAAAAATTACATTCAGTAAAGGAGTGTGTAAGCCTAATTTAAAATTAATTTAAAAGTACTTAGTCTGCACAGATAGATTTGAAAAAAGTAAAGAAAAAAAGATCTTGTGTCTCTCTCATAAATGAAATAAAGGTCTTTATCACTGCTTTCCCAATGGGACTGTGGTTCTAGAGAGCTGTCTTCATTTTCTCTACCACACACTTGTTTCTGGACTTACCTGTATTCTTGACTGTATCATATGTGATGCATTACTCAGACTTACCTACCTATGAGCAAAGAAAACTCTGAAGTTGAAAATAAAAACCAGAAATCCCACAGACCCTAAAATATATAAAACTACATTATGCATATAAGCTCTGAATTCAGGTCCTAGTGGCTTTCACAGAAAAATGAATGAAAGCCCTGCCCATTTTTTATATAAGAAAAGTGCTTTAGTATATATTGCAGCCACCATGAGCATCCCAATAAAGTGCACCACATGCTGCAGACCATCAAAAAAAAGAATTGGAAACTAAATAATCTAATCCTAAAGAACAAATCATTGAAGCAACCTGTAATTTCATTAAAGAAAATAACAGCAATGAGACAACAACATAACCAAAATTTTGGGGATGCAGCCAAAGCAGTGCTTAGAGGAAAATTTGTATTTCTAAATACTTGCATCAAGAAAATAAAGACAAAGCAGATCAATTAATTGAGCATAGAACTTTAAAAAAAAACCCTAGAAAAATAAATTCTAAATCCCCAATTAAACACCCAAATTGGAAATCCTGAAAATCAAAGGAGAGATGAATAAAATTGAAAGAAAAGCATTGAACTAATACATAAAACTAAGATCTGGTTTTATAAAGAAAAAAAAAACCAATAAAGTAGATAAACCATTGCTTAATTTGATTTTTAAAAATTTTTTTTAAAAGATGAAAACAAATTACTAATATCAAAAGAAAAAGGTAAATTCACCACTAGTCAAGATGAAATTAAAGCTATTAGCTATTAGGAGCTATTTTGCCCAGTTATATGCCAATATTCTGACAGTGTAAGCGATGGGTGAATACAAAAATATAAATTGCCCAGATTAACAGAAGGGGAAATAGCATATTTAAATAACACCATCTTAGAAAAAGAAATTGAACTGGCCAGCAATGAACTCTATAAGAAAAAATTCCCAGGCAGATGGATTCACAAATGAATTCTACTGAACATTTAAAGAATAATCAATTTATGATGTCAATTTTAACTAAAGATTTATCTTTTAACTAACTGTGATTTATTACCACCTAAAGTGTTAGATTAATTAATCAAGTAAGAAAATACTAATAATTGTGTCAATAGGGAAAAAAAACCCAAATGTTTATCTATGATGATACAAGTACAGCATGTTTTTGGCTATTTCTGTTTTCCTAAGGTTTAATTATCATCATTCTAATTACAGTAGTCCTCTGGGAGGACTGAAAATAAATACATAGAAACGCTGATGATTTATGAGGGTTTATTTTATATCCTACTATTTTACTAAGTACTATACTTCTTAATAATGTGTCATACTCTTTTCTCTCTCTTTTTTTTTTCTCTCTCTCTCAACATAGGGTTCAATTAAGGACCAGTTAAAAGCATATGGAGCTCTTACTGAGAATGTGACCAGGAAATATACCCGGCAGATTCTGGAGGGAGTTCACTACTTGCACAGTAATATGATTGTACATAGAGATATTAAAGGTTAGGATTAACGCATTTTTATTTTTAAACATATTTATATTCTATATTTAAATAAATTTGTAAAAGGTTTGGGTTTTTTTAAAGATTAAAAATGGCTTTATTAGTGAATTTCAGAAGCAGAATTAAAATCCTCAGAATAAAAAAGTCAGTTGTAATGAAAAAAGTTATTAGTGCGAAATATTGACCTACCCATAAAAAGGTAATGTTAATGATTCTGTACTTCAGGAAATAATAATAGCTTTCTAATTTCCATACTATTTTATGGTTTTTAGTGTGCTTTCCTCACAACAGCACAAGTAAATAAATAATACAAGCATACTTAAATTTTAGATGAGACAATTGAAACTTTGTTGATTTCAACAAAATAATTCTCCCAAAGTCACAAATATGAAGTGTCAGAGGCATAATTGTAACTTGTTAGGTCTTCTGACTCTAAGCCCCAGTGCCTTTTAATATGATTGGAACATAATTAGAAAACCAACAGTTAAATAATCAAAAACCATTTATTAAGCATTTATTGTGTGCCAGGCACTCTGTTAAGTGCTAGAGATACAGAGAAAAAGCAAAATGGCCCCTGCACTCAAGGAGATTTTCTAATGGAAGAGACAACTTGTATGTAAATAGAATAGGTGGAAGGTTACCTTAGAGGGGAAGGCAGTAGTAACTGGGGAGAAAGGGAAAGTTCGTCTATAGAAAGTGTCATTTAAGCTGAATTTTGAAGGAGAGACAACATCCAAAGAGCTGTGTACTAACAAGCTATATACAGGATAAATAGGAAATAATCAATAGAATGAAGGTACTAGAATTAAAAGAGATTGGAAAAGATTTCCTGTAGAAGGTTAGATTTTAACTGAGATTTGAAGCAAGCTGGAGAAGCCAGGAGGCAGGGATGAGGAAGGGGAGAATATTCCATGCATGAGGGGCAACTAGTCAAAATGCCTGGAGTTAGTAGATGAAATATCTAATTTGAGGAAAAGCAAGGAAATCAGTGCCACTGGAAGGAAAAGTATTTGGTGAGGGGAGGGAGACCGTAAAATATAGGAAGATGCAAAAGGTGGGAGCAGGGATGCAAGGACTTTAAACACCAAACAGAGGATTTTATAATTCACACTGGAGGCAATAGGTAGACACTGGAGTTATTGAGTAGGGTGGTGGCATGGCTATACCTGAACTTTAGGAAAATTACTTTAGCAGTCAAGTGGAGGATGGACTATAGTGGAAAAGGACTTGTAGTGAGCAGACCAATCAGCAAGCTATCTCAGTAATTCATGTGTGAAGAGAGATAGGTGCACCAGGATAATGACAGTATTGGAGGAGAGATGTTAAAAGGTAAAATTGAAAGGCCTTGGAAACAAATTGAATATGTAAGAGTGAGGACTCAAGGATGGCACCTACATTGTGAGCCTGAGGGACTAAGAAAATAATTATGCCCTAAATAGTCATAGGGGAAGTTTGAAAGGGGAGAAAGTTTGGAGACAAGGGGAAGATTTTGAGTTCAGTTTTGGATATGTTAAATTAAGACGTTCACAGGACATCCAGTTCAGAATGTCTAATAGGCAATTGGAGATGCAAGATTGGAGGTCAGCAGAGAGGCTAAGGCTGGATAACTAGATCTGAGAATCCACAGCAAAGAGATAATTGAATCCATGCAATCTGATGAGAACGCCAACTGAAATAATAGTATAAAGAAAAAGGAGCAGGATTTCCTTCCTCCCTTTTCAGCTTCTTACATGTCATCTTCCTCTTAGATGGTGAACTTCTTGAGAATGGGGATGATTTTATGCCATTCTTTGAATTCCTAGCATTTAACAGTGCCTGGCACATGGTAGGCACTTAATAAATGTCTCTTGACTTTGACTGTGACTCCAGTGTCCCAAAAATCTAGTAAGAAGAGAGTTTCAAAGAGAAAAGAGTGATTGACAGTGTCAGAGGCTGCAGAGAAGTCAAGAAGGTTAAGGATTTTCTTCTTTCTCATGGTTCCTCCCATTGGTTCTAATTCTTCTTTACAACATGACTAATGTGAAAATATGTTTAATATGAATGTATATATAGAGCCTATATCAGATTACATGCCATCGTGGTAAGGGAGGAGGGAAGGAAGGGTAAGAAAATTTAGAACTCAAAATCTTAATGGAAGTGAATGTTGAAAACTAAAAATAAATAACTTTTTAAAAAAAGTTTTTAAAAAAGAGGATTGAGAGAAGTCCACTGGATTTGGCAATTAAGAGATCATTGGTAACTTTAGAGAAAGCCATTTCCACTGAATGATGAGGTCTGGAAGCCAGATTGTAGGGAGTTAAGAAGAGATTGAGAGGATCTTAAACTATACTACAAAACTGTAATTGTCATAATGTTTGATAAACCTAGAGATCCCAGATATTGGAGCATGTTCAATAAAAAACTGTTGGGGGGGCAGCTAGGTGGCGCAGTGGATAGAACACTGGCCCTGAAGTCAGGAGTACCAGAGTTCAAATCCGGCCTCAGACCAGACACTTCACACTTACTAGTTGTGTGACCCTGGGCAAGTCACTTAATCCCAACTGCCTAAAAACAAAACAATAAAAACTGTTAGGAAAACTAGAAAGCATTGTGGCAGAAACTAAAGTAGAGTACAACATTTCATACCATATACCAAGATAAGCTCCAAATGGGCATATGATTTAGATGTAAAAGGTAATATCATAAGCATATTAGAAAAGCATAAAAGAAATTACATGTCAGGTATATGAATACAAAGTTCCTGATCAAACAAGAAATCAAGAGGTTCAATGGAGGTAAAATGTACAGTTTTAATTACATAAAATTTAAAAGTTTTACACAAAATCAAACAATGCAATTAAAATTAATAGAAAATCAGGAAATGGACATCTTTGCAGCAAATTTTTCTAATAAAGGTCTCATTTCTAAGCTGTAGAGGGAACTGAATAAAATTTCTAAGAATAAGAGCCACTCATCAGTTAATAAATGGTCAAATGATATGAATAGAGAGTTTTCAGGGGAAGAAATCAAAGCTATAGGTATATGAAGAAATGCTTTAAAAACATTAAATAGAGAGCTGCAAATGAAAACAACTCTGAGATACCACCTCACACCCATCAGATTGGCCAAGTTAATCAAAAAGGAAAATGACATGCAGAAAGGGCAGTGAGAAAACAGGCACTTAAATGTACTATTGGTAGATCTATGAACTGATCCCACCATTTTGAAACTTATGTCCAAGAAGCTATTAAACTGTATATATTCTTTGATGCAGCAATACTGCTACTAGGTCTATACTCCAAAGAGACCAAAGAAAGAGGAAGATAACCCATATGTTCAAAAATATTTATAACTGCTTTTTTTTTTTTGTGGTAGTAAAGAATTAGAAACTGAAAGGATGACCATCATTTGGGGAGTGACTAAATAAGTTGTGGTATGTGAATATGTTAGAATATTTTTGTACTCTAAGAAATAATGAAGGGGATGGTTTCAGAAAAACCTGATAAGACTTAATATGAACTGATGCAAAGTGAAATGAGCAGAACCAGAAGAACACAGTTACAGCAATGTTGTAAAGACAATCAACTCTGAAAGACTTAGGAATTTTGATCAACACAATGACCCACCACAGTTCCAAAGAACTCATGTTGAAACATTCTGTCCACCTCCCGTTACAAAAGTGATAGACTCAGAGTGTAGATTGAAATATATGTTTTATTTTATTTTTTATTTTCTTTCTTTTATATATATATGGCTAATATGGGAATTTGCTTTGCTTGACTATTTGTAATAGGCTTTGTTTTTCTTACCTTCTCAGTGATTGGGGAAAGGGAAGAAAAAGAATTTGGAACTGACAGATTTTTTAAAATTAAACTTAAGTAAAAGAAAATATCAAGAAAGAGAGGAAATGGAGGCATTTATTATAGATGATTTTCTCAAAAAAGTGAGCCAAAAAGGCAGGAGAAATATGGGATGATAGCAGGGGTAGGTGAATGGAGTGAGGGTTTTTGAGGATGGGAGGCACAGGCATGTTTATAGGCAATAGGCTAGCAGCAAGTAGAGAGGGAAAGATGGAAGATAGGCAAGAGAATGGGGATGATAAAAGGTCCAGTCTAATAGGAGAAGATGAGATGGAATAGGATCACTTGTGTGTGTAAAGGAATTTGCTTTGGCAAGGAAAAGAGCCACCTCATCATTTAAGATGGGGCAAAGAAAGCAGTCGTGGCAAAAGGCATTCAGGTGATATGAGATAAGAAGGGGAGAAAAGGCAGCTCTCAGCAAATAGCCTTAACTTTTTCAGTAAAATATGAGGCAAGGTTCTCAGTGGAAAGAAAGTGGGAAAAGGACCCATAGGAAGTTTAAGGAGGGTTGAAGAGGTTTCAAAGAGCCACTGTGGTGAGTGGGATGGTGAGTTAATTAGGGAGGTATAAAAGGATTGACTAACAGTGGTGACAGCCTAGTTGAGGTAATGTAACATAAATTTGTAGTGAACTCAGGGTATGGGATACATTCTGTATCATGTGCTTCAGAGCCAAGGAAGCAGATGGTAAGAGTGATCTAGAGCTAAGGCTTGTCAGGGCATAGTTCAGCAGTATAATAAGAGGGCAAGAGACTCAAGAAAGAGTGTAAAGTTGAACTTACTTACCAGAAGGTCAAGATGGAGAAAGGAGAGATTATCTAGTGCAGGAGTAATAGCCTACTAGAAAACTGAGAGATCAAGGGATTGAAGGGATTTCTCCACTCATGCAGCCAACCCCCCAGGTTTGTGGCTCTTTGTGGCTCATGTTCTTCACTTTGGAGCTAGAGCGTTTTTATTAGTACATATAATTTAGTACATATAAAAACATCCAGTTTTTGTTTTTATCTCAATGGTTATCAAAGATGATCACAAACAGTAAACCCATAAAAAAATCAGTTGTTATTCAGTGAGACTATGTGACACATTTCTAAACTGATTTTTTCTAAGCTTCTTTCTTTTCTTTGAGCTTCTGTCTCTAGTTTGTGGAAAGCCACAGCTTTCCAGGTAAAATGCAAAGATATAACCTCTTCTCCATCTAAATCTATCTCACTCTCAGACCATGTAGCACCATCTTTAATAAGAAGCATTCATGGAGCACTCATTGTGTGCAGAAACTATGCTAAATACTGGAAACATAAAGACGTATTAGATATTTTCCCTGCCCTTCAAGAACTTAAATTCTAATTCTGAAATTGGGACACAGACACACATCAAGAGATTAAAAAAAAAACGATACAAGGTAGCTTAGGCTAAGTGACAAATAAGTGGCACAGATGGTAATTGCTATCAGAGTTAAAGGAAGAAAGAGCAGGGTGAGTTAAACTGGTCGGTGAAGGTCAAACTCCCCGAAGAGTTAGCACTATAGGACTTGAACTGAAGCTTTGAGTAGAACTTAGTGAAGAGAAGGAGACAAAGCCTTCTAAGCATTGAAACAGTGTGAACAAATTCCAATGAAATTAGTCTGCCTGATTCTAGGGCTGTGTCCCAAAGAGATCATAAAAATGGTGAAAGGACCCACATGTACAAAAATATTTATAGCAGCCCTTTTTGTGGTGACAAAAAATTGGAAATTGAAGGGATGTCCATCAGTTGGAGAATGGCTGAACAAGTTGTGGCATATGAATGTAATGGAATACTATTGTGCTGTAAGAAATGATGAGCAGGCAGACTTCAGAAAAACCTGGAAAGACATGTGTGGACTGATGCTGAGTCCAGTGAGCAGAATCAGGAGAACGTTGTGCACAGTAACAGCCACATTGTGCGATGACTAACTTTGATAGACTTAGCCCTTCTCAGCAATGCAAGGATCTAAGACATCTCCAAAAGTCTCATGATGGAAAATGCTATCCACATCCAGAGAAAGAACTATGGAGTTTGAATGCAGATTGAAGCATACTATTTGCTATTTTTTTCTTCTGTTTTGTTTTGTTTCCTTTTCTTTTTTTTCTTTTTCTTTTTAGGCAATTGGAGTTAAGTGACTTGCCTAGGGTCACACAGCTAGTATCAAGTGTTTGGTCTGAGGTCAGATTTGAACTCAGGTCCTCCTGACTTCAGGGCCGGTGCTCTATCCACTGTGCCACCTAGCTGCCCTATGGTTCCCTCTTCTTACCATACTCTTTTTGCATTACTCTCTTTTATAAAATGTATATTCCAGCCAAACTAACTTCTTTTTGTCTCCCATACGTTACATATCCCTTTACTGGCTTTTCTCTATATCAGAAATGTACCATCTCCCCACCTATGCTTCTTAGAATTAGCTTCCTTCAAGGCTCAACTCAAGTTTGTGCCACAGGCCTATTGTGACACCAGTTTGTTGTCCTCTTCTTCTTCTTCTTCTACTTTTTTTTTTTTTTTTTTTTTTTTGGCTAGGCAATGGGGTTAAGTGACTTGCCCCGGGTCACGCAGCTAGTAAGTGTTTAGTGTGTGAAGCCAGATTTGAACTCAGGTCCTCCTGACTCCAGGGCCGGTGCTCTACCCACTGCACCACCTAGCTGCCCCTATTTGTACTTTTCTTACAGTGTACATATTGTTTCTCCCCATTAAGGATGTAAATTCCTTGAGAATAGGAGCTGTTTGTTTCTTTTTTGTTTTTGTATCACCTGAACCTAGCACAGTGTCTGGCCCCTGCATTCTCTGTGGGCAATTCCAGTGGTGGGGAACCTATGGCCTCAAGGCCACATGTGGCCTTCTGGGTCCTTGGGTGTGGCCTTTTGACTGAGTCCAATTTTACAGAACAAATCCTTTTATTAAGGGGATTTGTTCTGTGAAGTTTGGATTCAGTCAAAGGGTCGCACTTGAGGACCTAGAAGGCCACATGTGGCCTCAAGGCCGCAGGTTCCCTACTCCTGGGCAAGTCACTTCACCTCACTAGACTTCACTTCCTTCTTTCATTAAATGTGATCTGTTGTGTCTGTTTTATTCTATTGGGTTGTAAAGTATTAAGATTACAACCCAGACTGCCATGATTTGGAAAGAGATTTCAGATCATGATTTTCTTGCCTTCTCTATCAGATAATGGTTTTGCCAATTCAACAATGTAGAATTTCTGTTATTTCTGTTTTTCTCACTTTATCTCTCTACATATGTAGACCTGCTACCTGCTTCCTGACAGCAGAGTACATGCATGCTGGAAGACAAACTTTATTGAAAGACTAGTAAGTTTGTTAGGCTATGGAGAATCTAAGGGAATTTAAAAGGCAGGGATAAAGGGCTGAATCCTATGAAAATTAAGCTGCTGCTTCTTGTAAAAAGAGTACTAACTCTTCCTCTCACTAGTTTATGTGACTTTAGACATACTTTATTCTGGGCCTAATCTGTAAAATGAATTAATTGGATTAGATAATCCCTTTCTACCCTGATATTCTTATGATTCTATGAGTTTATTGGTGGAATTTTTTTTTAAACAAGAGAATTTCAATATGATTTTGTCCCATTAAAAGGACTTGCAAAGACCATAATAAGATAAACAATAATACTAAACAGCACTTGAATTTTTATTGTAACACAATATATTATAATGAACAGTCTTGGGCCAGGCTTGGTAACACATGTCTGTAATACCTGATTCAATGGGCTAAGTTTATCAAGGGGATATGATTCTGTTTCTGTTCAAGAGGGAGGAACAATTGGGCTTGTGAGCCACCAGGAGTCCAGGGACCACCGGGCATCCTAAGGAGGGACCTACTACCCAAGGTCAGAAATAGAGCAGGGCAAAGCTTCCATGCTGATCAGTAGTTGATCATGTCCATGAGTGGTGTACTTCCAACCTAGACAAGACAGAGAGACCCAGTCTCAATAATACATCATCATCATCATAAAGCGTTAGACCCGTAAAATAATAATGAAACACAACTTCCTCTTCTCTAAAGAGAGAGAATATATTCTACCAATGTGGAATTAGGTATACACCAAAAGATAAATTTTCTGTATCAGTTGGCTTTGATTAAATGTTATTGTGGTGGTTGTGGGTCATTACAAGGAAATAAGAAATAGAAACAGTTAACATTTGTAGCTAACAAAGAAGGGTTCAATAATTAAGGGGAAATAATTAAAGTTAAAAAGTAAGAGGCAACAATAAAACTTCCGAAAATAAAAGGATTCATTGATATTGTTTCTTGTAAGTTTACTAGAGGCCTACCTATAAAAATTAATTGATTGATGAGGCAGCTAAGTGGCACAGTGGGTAGAGCTCTGGCCTTGGAGTCAGGAGGACCTAAGTTCAAATCTGACCTCAGACACATAACACTTACTAGCTGTGTGACTCTGGGCATGTCACTTAACCCTGATTGCCTCACCAAAAAGCAAAAAAAAAAAAAAAATGATTGAAAGATTTGTTTTTTACTTCACAGGAGCAAATATTCTTCGAGATTCAGCAGGAAATGTGAAGCTGGGGGATTTTGGTGCCAGTAAACGACTTCAGACAATCTGTCTTTCTGGTACAGGAATGAAGTCTGTCACAGGCACACCATACTGGATGAGTCCTGAAGTCATAAGTGGGGAAGGTTATGGCCGAAAAGCAGATATCTGGTAGGTTTTTATAAGGTACTTTTTAATGAGTTGTTACCTCTATTTCCATCTTTCTACCAACAAACCAAGTTAGTAAAACCTGGCTTAAATTCTTTTGTCCTGCAGCAGTTGGGTGGCACAGTGGATAGAATACTAGCCCTACAGTCAAGAGGACCTGAGTACAAATATGGCCATAGATACTTACTAGTTGTGTGACCCTGGGCAAGTCACTTAACCCCAATTACCTCCCCCTCCAAAAAAAATTTCTTAGTAGGATACTCTTGGATACTGTATGTCCTAGAAATATTTACTTTTTAATTCTACCTCATGGTTCTATAAATCTGCCAAGTAATCCTATGTCTAAAAAGTGTATTAAAGAATTGAAGTTTTCTGCTTTAGAAGTATGATTAATCTACTCATGCATATGCTTGCCTTCCATCTTCCCCTCCTTTCACATATTAGGGAGGTATTTTTATTTAAGGTGTCTTAGTATAAGATTCCTAGAAGATAAAGGGAGAGAAGTGACTAATTTGACCATACTTGAAAAATCTTTTGCCTGTAATCCATGTATAAAAACTGTCCTTGACACTGGGAAATTAACCTGTGTTTAAAGATATTAAAGAAAAGTTGCAGTCTGGTGGAGTCTGGCTTTATTTTTAATAAATTTTTCAATTAAGCATCTGTTTTCTCTTCTACCTCCCCTGTCCTCATAGAAGAAAGAAAAACAAAAGAAAAACAAAACCCTGTAACAAATATGCATAATCAAACAGAACAAAATCCCACATTGGCCATGGCCAAATGCTTCATGCTTTTAGTGGTAGGATTTATCTGTTGGCTTAATGAGTGTGGCATTTCTAACACTCCTAAATCTCTTCAGACCCCATTTCTAATTGTCCTTCCATTCTTGATCATAGGATCCTAGATGTAGAACTCGAAGGGCCCTGAAAGACCGTCTAGTCCAGCCCCCACATTTTAGAGGAAGAAAATGAGGCCTAAGTTTGTTAAGCAACTTGCACTGATTTCATGGAAGACTGTCTGTGGTTACTACTAGATAATATAGCATCAAAATGGTGATGCATTATGTGAAAAGACATGATGTTTAAAATTATTCTAAGAAATAGACTAGTTCCCCTGAAGCTTAGCTTTTAAGGAATTTTTACCTTTTTTCTGGTAAAAAATTCCGTGACCAACAACCTGCTATGATACAACCTAAAATTATCTTCCTCTCCTTCACATCTAGAAAAGATTATGGTAGACATTCATTTTTTAAAGGGTTTAGAATCAAAGGGGAAGGGCATTTTGTTCTTGGTCAGCTAGCATTAAGTACCTATTGTGTACCAGGCACTGTGCTAAGTACTGGGGATACAAAGAAAGGCAAAAAACAGGCCCTACTCTCAAGAAGCTTACAGTCTAATGGTAGAGAGAAACAGACAACCGTGGTTCAAACAAGATTAGATATAGATTTAGATATATGATCAATTGGGAATAATGTCAGAGGGAAGTCACTAAAAGTAAAGAGACTACAAGAGGTCTCTTGTAGAATGTGGAATTTCTACTGAGATGTGAAAGAAACCAGAGAATCTAGGAGACAGAGAAGAAGAGAGATAGTGTTCCAAGCATAGGAGACAGCCGATCAGAATGCTCAGAGTTGGAAGATGAAGCTTCTTGTGTGAGGAACACTAAGGCCATTGTCACTGGGTTGCAAAGTATCAATGGGAAGTAAAAGTGTAAGACTGGAAAGGTAGGAAAGAACTCCATTTTAAAGAGCTTTGAAAGCCATACAGGGGCTTTTATAATTGATCCTGAAGGTAACAGGGAATCACTGGGGTTTATTGAATTGGGAATGGGGATGATATATGGTCAGACCTGTGTTTTAAAAGATAATTTGACAGCTGAATGAAGACAGACTGGAGTGGGGAGAGATATGAGGTAGGAAAACTATTTAGGCGTGACTATTTCAGTAGTCCAGGCATGAGGCTGAGAGCCTGCACCAGGGTGGTAGCAGTATGGGAGGAAAGAAGGGGTCATATACAAGGGATATTGTTAAGATGAAAACGACAGGACTTTACCACTAATTGGGAATGAGAGAAGAGGTAATAGAGTGAAGAGTTGAGTGTGACACCTCGGTTGTGAGCCTGGGTAATTGAAAGGATGGTAGTACCTAAACAATAATAGGGAAATTAAGAAGAGGACAGGGTTTGGGGGAAAAGCTAATGAGTTCACTTTTGGACATGTTGAGTTTAACATGTTTGTATGGGACATCCATTTCAAGATGTTTAAAAGACAGTTGGAGATATGAAAGTGGAGGTGAGGAGAGAGGTTGGGTCTGGACAAGTAGATCTGAGAGTTGTGTTGCATAGTAACTGTGCATGTAACTGAAACTATGGGTAACTAAAAACCATGATGACAGTGCCAAATGCAATAGTATAGAGGGAGAAGACAAGTTTAGGACAGAACTTTGGGAGACTCCCATTGTTAGTGGACATGGCCTAGATGAAGATCCAGCAAAGGAGACAGAGATGATGAGATCAGATAGATAGGAGCAGTATTAGGAGAGAGCAGTCACAAAAAAAACAAAAGAGAAGAGAATATCAAGAAGATGAGGGTGATTGACAATCAAAGACTGGTCAAGAAGGATGAACATGTTAGGTGTGGCAACTAATTTGGCAATTAGTAGTCACTTTGGAGAGTCTGTGACTAGACAGAACAACAGTTAATATAGATTAGCTAGTCTGATATTTAAAAAATAAGATTTCTAAATTAGAACATAATTTTCTCCACCAGTTGAAATCCTGTCTATCCTTCAGGGCCCTGCTTACATCTTAAGTCTTCCATATAGCCTTTCCAGATTCTCCCTCTGCCAAAGAAGTCCCTTCTTCTCATAGCATTTTCTGTCTTTCATGTGTACATTCATACCCTTTTATTATACCAATTTATATATGTATCTATAAGTTCCTTAAGGATAGAGATTATGTCTTATTTAGCTTTATATCTTTCTTAGCACCTAACATAGTGGGCATTCAGTATATGTTTATTGAATTAAATATGAATAGCATTTAGGGCAAGTAGTACAGTTAATCATTATATAAAGGCATATTTAATACCCACATACATTCCCACAATACTGCATTAGGGAAAATAATCTAAATGCAAATCAAGTTCTAATTGGTAGCAGGTTTATTGTTGTTTTTAACTTTAAATATGTAGTTCTGTTGGGTTATGCAGTCTGTCTAAATAATCAATTTTTGCTCTTTTTTTTTAGGAGTGTGGGCTGTACTGTGGTAGAAATGCTAACTGAGAAACCACCTTGGGCTGAGTTTGAAGCAATGGCTGCCATATTTAAAATTGCTACTCAGCCAACCAATCCAAAGCTGCCACCTCATGCTTCAGACCATAGTCGAGATTTCCTCAAGCGGATTTTTGTAGAGGCCAAATTGAGACCATCAGCTGATGAACTCTTAAGGCACATGTTTGCGCATTACCACTAGCACTCAGTGTTAGTCAGTGCCTCTCCCAGCTCAGACCTACTGCATTTACCTTCTCTCTAACTGCACTTTTTTCTTTTTTTAAAGAGAGAGAAAGAAAAAAGAGGAAAGAAAAAAGAGGGAAAGTATTTCTCTTAATTCTTGGTTTCATTAATTTGTCTAAAAATAATCTCAAGTTTTTTGTATTTAGAATACTTCTCCCCTATCAGGACTTGAAACTTTTTTTTATAATGTACTGATGTGATTCTCAGAGATAAAAGCACTTTAGTACATATTCATCATTATTTAAAAAAAAAAAGACAAGCAACAAAAGAGACTGTAAAATTCTTAAAGATAAGATAGCCTTTTCTCATACTCCTGACACATTTTTGGTGAGGGGGAGATGGAAAAAGATAAATGAAATTACTTCTAATTTCCATTATTTAGTGATAGTAGTTAAAATAGATCCGCACGCCTGGGGTTGAGCCCCAGAATAGATTAGATTACTGATAGATTTCAATAATATAGACTTCATCATGAGTGTGTATGCCCTGCCATATCCTAGCTTCTGCCTGCCACTCCTTTTGCTGATAATACATCTTGAAGTAAAATATAAGTTTCTAAGAGGTGTGTTTACTTAACATACTTAACAACTCTCAGAGAGCCAGAATTATAGGTAAATACACTATAATAGATCCATATTTCTAGAGAAAACAAAGCTTAAGGGATAACCCTCTAGTGAAAAATAAAGTCACACTACTATATTTTTAAACATGGAAAGTCAGCAAGAAATTCTCTTAAAAGCAAAATGTAAGAGGAAAATGTTTTTCTTAAATGATGTGAACAGACCAAATTATATAGGAGACATCCAATGAATAGTCAAAAGGAAAAGGAAAAAAAAACTGTTCAATATTTTCTATTGTACTCTGAGGGGAAAAAGGTCCCCAATTAATTGAAAATGGAGATGAACTGAAAACAGTCAAAAAGATATATACCTTCTTCCTTTCTTTAGCTACCACTTCCTTGTATATAGCATTAAATACCATCCAGTCTAGGGGGATCCTTGCTTTGAAGGTCTTGATTGTCTTGGCAGAAAATGAAAACCATGCCTTCATGGTCATATAAAGAGCAATAATGCACTTGGGGGAAAAAAGCATATAATCTCAAGAGTTATTCAATTATGTACCTAAAAACAACAATTGAAAAAGATCGCTTGGAAAAAGATAATACCTGAACTTCAAGAAATATTCACAAATTTAGCACAAGGATTGTCCAATAGCAATTACCATTACTTCAGAACAAGGGATAAACGTCCCAGAAAATAGAAATCCCTTTTTCCCAGCTGCACACTGCATCTGAATCACTAATCATTCAGCTACAGAACTGAAGTGGAATTGGTAGAAACTTGTATATTGTGTTCCAACCTCATACGTGAAGAAAATAAAATTTAATGTTTTCCAGTTACTATGAAGGACCAAGAAATTCCAGGTCGCAAGTGTCTTTGTAATGATGGAGATTGTGAAGTTTCTCCCTAAGAACACAAAATGGAATATGAACTTTTTTTAGACCCCATGTTTACATTGCAAATGAAAAATAAGGAAGATTTCAGTAATTTGGCTGCTCATGTTTCTTTACTGTGTATGGGAAAGAAAAAATATTTCCCACCTCAAGGTTTTGAATTTGATTATTCACATGGGGCTCATGTATTAATAGTATTGTATGTGTTTTTAAGGATTCTTTGAAAATAATTTGTTACTGAAACCAGTTTAACAGATGTAGGTACAGTGAATGCAAAACTCCTGCATAGCACACTGTGCTGGATTATTTGCAGTTGATACTCTCAGAAGAAAAAAAAAAGCACAGGTAAAGTGCCAGAAGCTTCTTTTGTGTTCCAAGAATCGGCAGAAGCAGCCAGCAGAAGCTAAAGAAAATGCAAAATATTACGACAATGTCAACAGTTATTCAGAGAATTCATAATTGGAGGGGAAGGAGTAGAGAATGTTGGCTTACTATACTATGTGCCAGAAACATAAACCCCAAGTGTGTGGATCTATTATAATCTATTTACTTTTGGTGAGTAATTCAGTCTTTTCTACTCAAGCACTGTCATAGCATATGGACCAGTGAAATTTCATTTTGTCTCCTTTTATTGTGATTTCCCTTTGTTTCATTTTTGGTCTGTCAGGGTAACCAGCAGTGCAAAGTATGGGACAAATGACTTTTACATAGAAATCCTGGGAGACTGTGTAACAATAACAACAACAAAAAAGCAAAGTGATGTTCCGGGGGTTCTCTGTCTCCTTGTCCTGGGCTAAAAGCTGTAAAAGTAAGCATCTGGGGGGGAAAAAAGTCCTTCTTTCCTACTGCTGCAGAGGACCTTTGCTTTATAAGCAAATTTTTTTTTATTAGAGCTGAATATAGGTGGGGGAGGGAAGGGAGTATGCTTTATGTAAAGATTGTTTTTAAAATAAGCATAGTTTACATAGGTGTGTATCTGAATTTATTGATATTAAATAGGTTTGAAGGTACCAAAAACCAAGCTGAAAATGAGCAAATATGGAGCCATTGGTTTAAAAAAAAATGCCCAGTGGTAGCTAGAACATTTAGAGAGAGAGAGAACCAAAAAAGAATGAATTTCAAAGGAAGAGCCTATATCAGGTGTAACTATAGCATTCCGAGATTTAATATTATTTCTTCCTGTTAGATTATGATGTGGGGCGGCAAATTAAATTGCACTCTCTGAAGGTTGAATTTTTTTCGAAAACTAGTCTCTGATTTTATCCTGTTTTTAAATGCACAACTTTTTTCTATACTATAATATTTCTTTGCTGCAGCTGGAAAACAAAAATTACTTAGACTGCTGCTTTTGTGCCTTTTAAAAATGCATTCTGTCTTGGCAATGGCAGACATGTTTGGTGCTGGAGAAGGTTCACTTGCAGTCTTTCATATGCTTTCCAGAATATCTAGCTCTTCCTATTTATATCACATATATGTTTGTGTATATATGTGTGTGTGTGTGTATGCATGTGTATACATACACATATGATATAAATAAGATTAGGCTGTGAGAATATTGGTGTTATGACTTTGCCCTGGGCTAAATTCAGGACTACTATACTGTAGGTATAATGTGCTGAATAAAAATGTTGCAAAATAAGGGGAAATGATGTGGACTATATTAGTTATTATTAATTACTATATAAACCCTGATATTTTTAACATATTTAAAAGGCAGCATATTTAGGTCTCATAATTTCAGTATGGCCTCTCACAAAATTTCAGTAAACTTTAACTTACTGAATTTTTGTTTTAAACAGAGACTACTCCATAAGTCATTTTAAAAAGATTTTTCATTTATAACTTAAATTATAAAATACTAATGCAAATGGAGAAATGGAAAAACACAACAAAAATATATTTCATAATGAATTGGGCAACTCAAATACTCTCATTAACATCTTCATGACAAATCCTATATAAAGGAAGATAAAATTTTTAAACTATTTTCTCTGTACTGGCTCTCTACCACCAAATTTTCTAGTCATTGGAATTTTCTTTAACAATCTTAGGGATGTATAGCCAGGTCCTCTCTCAATACTTTGAAAATACCCTCAAAATCTCATATGTTATGTCTTTTCTACAGTCTTCGTTAGTTGAGTTATTTTTCAGTCATGTCCAACACTTGGTGAACCCATTTGGGGTTTTTTTTTGGCAAAGATACTGGAGTGGTTTGCCATTTCCTTCTTTAGCTCATTTCACAGATGAGGAAAGTTAGGCAAACAGGGTTAAGTGACTTGCCCAAGGTCACACAACTATTATGTGTCTGAGGACACTTTTGAACTCAGGAAGATGAATCTTCCAGACTCCAGACTTGGCACTCTATCCACTGTGCCACCTAGTCTTGGTTAATTAGTTCTTAAATTTTGCAGTTCTTACACTACTAAATCATGCTGATGTGATCAAATAGTTTTCATAGGATCATAGTTATAGGGTTAGAAGAAATTTCTGTAATAAATGCCAATGCAAATAAAATAGCTAAATCATAATTGTGGGTAGATAAAAATCAGGATTCATTAGACAAATGGTAGATTTTGTTCCTTAGAGTTCTACTAGAATTCATTGACTTCATTTTGGCCTTGGAGCTTATTGCTGTAATTCATTAAATTAGTTTGTCATTAAGGATATTTAACTGTCATTTTTTTGTGTGGGAAGGATCAGTTTTATTCTTCTAGCCCTATCTTTTTAAAAGCACAGAGTTGTGATCATTTTGTTAGTATTAATTAGCAGGATTTTTTTTTCCCCCAAACACATTTTAAATTGTGGGCAGTTATCCAACCTTAAAAATTAGGCTAGGTGCAGTTGCTGAAAACTCAGATTATTAGTGTCAGGAACTACAGCGATGGAATTCCAGAGCTCAATCAGATCCTAGAGGTCAACCAGTCAAAATTTACTTTTAGTGCAAGTTCCTTTAGGGCAGGGACCATATTTTTCTGATCTTGTATTCCCCCTCAGCACCTAGCACAGGGCCTTCTAACTAATAGGTACAATAAATATTTGTTGAATAGAAGAAACTTACACAACGTACCTGACAAGCAGATGTTCATCCAGCCCATGCTTAAACATATACAGTAATGAACATTTATTTTTGGAAAAATGAGGTTGGTTTTTTTCATAAGGATTCTTTTGAAACTTATTTCATCAAACTTATTTAAAAATCAAACATTTGGAAGGAGCTAAAAATCCAGTATTAATTCTGGGAGGCTCTATTTTCATCATAAAATGTAAAAGTTTGGACAGCTTAGTTCTAGAACTAATATATTTATTTTAGTTTGAAGTTTTGATTTCAGGTGAACATTAAAGAAATTTAATTGTTAGCACTTTTGTATGTTCTAATTTTCTTTTATGTCAGTGATCATTCAAATCATAAATCAGATGTGCAAATAGTTTTACAAAATTATAAGACCACAGCAGTTTATTTGACCACAAAATAAGAATTGGCCTTTGTCCATGCTTCCTAATACCTCCCTTCCCACATTTCATCCTCCCTTTTTACTATATTGCTAAGCAGGGAACACTAGTCTTTATAAGAGATATAATCTGCATTCCTCATACCCAAAAGATCAAGAAATAAGAGATGAAATATAAATTGTTTCAGGACTACTGCTTTTCAATTACATTTGAACCTTTCAGGTCTTAGGTATATCATAGGTCGCTGTTTATTTCCCATAGCTGGGCTAAATAAAGGAAAATATTTTTACCTAATGATTATCTGTCAATATTTTAAACAGTATGACTTAGAGAATTAAGAAGAGAGCTACAAATTGAGAATAAGATATCCCTACCAATCACTAAGTATTTATTAAGCACCTATTATGTGCCAGGCATTTAACTGTACTCGGTGCTGGAAATACTAGTACAAAGAATGAAAAACTTCCTACTCTCATGGAGTTTATATTCCATATTCTTTGACTGATAATTGTGCATGTGCCACTGATTATATAACTTACTTGTCTATAAAGCAGGGGGAATTGGGATTAGGGGATAGAGATCTGAATGTCAGGCTCCATGATAAAGCATTTTAGACTGAATTACTCAGTACCACCCATTCTCACTATTAGAAAAATACATAAAAAATATATCATACTAATGGTGTATGAGTAAAATTGTCTCTATGTAGGAAAGTCAGCTTATTTCTACAAATAATTGTAAAAGCATTAGTTTAAAAAAAAAACTACATAAAGGTATTGAAAACTGCCAAATTCTGGGTTACTGAAAGTGGATGATTTTTAGCCAGGGCTACTTAGACACATACTGTTGTGTGGCCCTGGGCAAGTCACTAAACTTCTGTGGCACAGGACAACTCTCTAAGTCACTGAGCAGGTACTGATCAGCATTGGTAGAGGGAATATCTTCACTGTGAGTACCTTCTACCCAGTGAAATCACACATCTGGTAAAAGAACTATAAGACACGGTATAATGGAATTGTCACACCAAGTTGGGAATTAAGAGAAGTGTATTATTGTTCCAACGCTGACACTAACTCACTGTTTCCTTTGCAAGTCAGTTCATTTCTCTGGACTTTTTTTCATCTGAGAAATGATGGGGTTGGATCAGATGATTGATAAGCTCCCCTGTAGCTTTAATAGTCTTTGCTCTTCATTAGAAGATTAGGTTACACATCGTTAGTGGACTCTTCGGAATAAAACAAGTAACCACAAGAAATTGATTAGTTTATTCATTGCAGTTCATAAGGAAATTTCCTTATGTTTTTAGCAGGTTTGGGAAATGACATAATGAAACCCTGTTCCCAGCTAATTGAATTGTCATGGTTTAACTTAAGAGATTTAATAGAACTATTTTATCTGCAGTAGAGCTCAAGAATTTATCTCATTAATCTTTTAAAAATTGTTCACATTTTCCATATTTGCACATTTAAATTTAAATCCATGTGGTATTTTTGTTAGGAAAAACAAAGGTATTAAAACCAATAATGTCCCTGATGGCTAGTAACTTGGTTTATATTCATGATATGCATTGTCAGAATCACTTTAAACCAAAGCTTTTATAACCTCTGTAGACAGAGCCATACAAGTTGTTTTATAAATGATTAGCACACCTGTAAGGCCAACCAATAAGTTGTTTTGTTTTGTTTTGTTTTGTTTTATATGGGACAAAACAGGTAGTTACTAGTGAACCTTCTCTCAGTCCATCCTTTTAGAGGACAGTGTTTCATGTTCATTCTTTAGATGTGCAGATTGTCTCCAGCATTTAAGAAACTTGACTTACTTGGATAAACGTTAGCTCACCTAAGGTGACATTGCATTGACATGATTCAAATATATTATGCTTCAACTTCAAAGAATGCTCTCTAGTGTCTTAAAATTTGTGAACTTGTTT